CTCTGGATAAACGCAGGCCGTACGTGTTTTACTTTTACCGTTGGCAGACCCTAGCAAGATTATGAAGCAATAGCGAGTATCAAGAGCTATTATTTGGTCTTAGTTTATCGAGCAGCTACATCACATTACTATATATTTTATGTTATTATTAAAAAAAAAACTTGTATCGTGTGCTACATATATTAGTTGCATAATTTATGCCTTTGTGTTACATAAAACTACCTTCTTTTCAGTTGGGTTCAAGTTTGACATAGTTCTTTTCCCTGCATTGAGCTAGAAGTGTTTAACACCTGCAGATTCGAGCAAACAACAAATGCTATTTGCATAAGTAATACCTTTTGATTTCCTTTTTCTCCACAAAACAGCCAAAATTCTACCTTTTACTGTTTTGGCCGGATAGAAGATCATTTGCTAGTTTCTTGAATGTATGTTGTTTACTCGATGCAAAGTCAAGCTTTACTCACCATTTCTCTGGTGCGTCTGTTCTTTATGGAATAACCGTCCAAGAGACACAGAGGGTCTGCAGTCTTGGCTAATGACGTTGATTAGAAAACATATTAGACCATGGATTGAGACTCTTTACTACGCCATCGGAGTCGCTTTTAAACCTTGATCTGGCTTTTCTTCATTACTACTCTAGATCATTGAGAGAATCTCATTTTTAAAGTCATCATCGTTGTTAGAGAGACAGGGTAGGGTTTTTTTATTTAGCCCAAGCGGTGCTTCTGAGAGATTTCGCTAATCTGGTCCGTCCTTTTAGAACAAAACAATGGCGGATCGAGATTTCGCTCCTTGAAACCTTCATTTGTAGCGCTTTCGCAGAGGTATTTGGTCCCACATGATTACTGTTTTTGCTTTTCTCATTTTCACCCTGGATTTATTATTGCGCAATCGCAGGTGGAAACTTTGACTCGGTGCATGGGTTCGATTAATTTTGCATCTGTTAGCTAACACTGAAGAACAAACCAAAATTCTTCTGCCAGAGAAATTTGTTGCACGTTTGACGTATGTGACATATACCACTAGGAACTTGGAATGTTGTTATGCTCCTCACACTAGAACAAGTACATTAGAATTCTTCTCCTATTCTCTTTTAATTTTTAATGATGATGATGGTCAAGGCTCTTCAATTTTTAATCTTGTTCACTCTGTCTCATCTTTACTATGTGACAGCTGAAAAAAGTGTTTCAAGGAGACGTATTGTACGATTGATTCTGTGATCCCATAGTCGAGAAACCAAACCTTATTGCATATAATTCCTTAAAAAACCTCGAATTGTTATTTCGTTTATAGATTAATATTGAAACATATTATCCAATCCGATTTTCTTTCTAGTTTGGTCGGAAACTCTTTAATTTGAACGGATTCTTTATTTCAATATCTTTTCAAAGCTAGATTGTCTTACAAACACAGGACATACTAATCGACACGACATTACAATGAAGACGGTTCAGGCCCTTGGGACCAAGTAAACTCTGGATTTGATGATTGATCCTTTCCCTTCATGGCTAAGCTTGAACCCTGGACACACAGGAAACCCAACTACCTGACCCGCAGGAACACGGCCATCGGAGAACCTTACGACGCTGTCCATTTACTGAGAATGAAACCCGGCTCCTCGGTTTGCTTCGAAGTGACTCGGGGATGGATCGAGCGAGAAGGCCAAGAGGTGAAGCAGCAGCCAGACCGCTTTGGCTAACCCCAAAACTCTCCACAGAACTGCTTCTTGGATGGTTACGAGCCAGAACCAGCTCCCAACGACTCTTCCATTCTGTGGTGAATGATTGAAAGGTACTTCTTTGAACAGAAATTACCAAGACAAGTCGGTAAGATCCCTTGTTTCCATTGCTTCCATGTCTTTGAACTGCGCAAATCAAGCACGACGGTGTTGATGCGGGTTAATAAGAGACGGGAGGTTTCCGTCCAAGTAAAACGTCTCGTGATCGAATCAGTTGGAGAACAGTGGATGAAAACAAAGGATTGAACCAAGGATGCTAACGCAGAAGCTGACACGCTGTCTGATGCAGCTGAAGCGGCTTCAGTGGAGAGAACAGCATTCACGACGGCTTCACGACGGCTTCGTACGGCGCCACCGCCTCTCTCAGCATTCGGCCGCTACCGTGTTTCCTCGGGCCGCCAGTTTCGGTGCCTCTCATCCTCCTGAACCTTTCCCTAAGCTAACCTATCCTTCTCAGACCATCACTATGTCTGCGTCGTGCATCTTCTCCTGAATAGTGGATGCAACTAACAAGACGCCGTGAGTCGCTGGAACAGATGCGAGAAGTCTGAATTTGAACACAGAATAAAATCAAAGAAAACTTTTATGGGGTTTCAAATATTCTAAGGCCCATGATTGCCCATAGAAACTCGGCCCACAAAAGCCCAACAGAGACCTGAAAATAATGGTTATACATTACTTGTGAATCTAGGTTTTTCGCGCCTCAGAAATCTCTATCGAACAACCAAGCGGCCGCCGTTCCTCGTTTCTTCTCAACTTCTCATGGACAAAGCGGGCATGAGGCTCAAGAAATGCTCCACTTCCACCGATGTGTTTTTCTTCTTCTTATTTACCGCAACTTTAATGATCTTTTAGTAATGGTTTCTTTCTTCTTCTCATATTTAGGTTGAACATGCAAAAGGTAGAAATTTGGATTTCTTTTAGATTGGCACTTCCTTTCTTTGCTATCCGTATAAGGTCTCTGCTCAACTGTTTGATATATTTCTTTGTAGAAGGAAAGAAGCGCAAGAACAACGCCACCCAGCATTCGCTAAAAGGTAAGAAATTCGCTGTCTTTTGTGTACCTCTTCTTTGCTTAGTCATCGATGACTTTATTAATATACATCGACCGAACCATTGTATTTGATACAGGTCCTTGAGTTTTACATTGACCGAACCATTGTATTTATTGCCCTTCTTCTTCTTGCAAATAGTTTTTTTTTTTCTTTGGTCTGAGTGAATTTACACGAAGTCTTTGGTCAAATTTTTATTAATTGTTTGTTTTTTGTACTATTAAAAGTAATTACATTGCATTGTAATATATTGTGGGGAGTTTTAGATTTGGAATCGATATATATTGCGCATTTTTCCTGATTTTCTGGTTTGATTGTTGTCCCCATTTCTCATTAAACTGATAACTAGCGTTAAATGAATATAAAGAAATCATTGTTTTACCAAAAAAAAATGAATATACAAAAAAACATTCTTTTTGTCAATTCAAGATTATTTTTTTTGTTAGATAGTTTGGTTTTTTTGCATTAATCTCGTATCTATCGGTTTATTTCAGTGAAAAAAGTACGAGCTTCCAAGAAAATAGCTGCTCATGATGATGTCACCATTCATGGACTGGCATCTACCATAGTAAATGATCATGATGTGCATAAGTTTCTCTAATCACGCTATTTCGGTTCATTTAACTTCTCTATTATTTTTTTCACGTTCTCTGGGTGGTCACTCCAAGAGTTGTAAGATAACATTTAGAAAACGCGTAATTCGTGGGTTTTTTTTTGCAGCTTTTCTTATTTATGTTTTTTATTGGCAGGATATCAAAATGTTGATAGACTCTTTCAAAGAGATGACTGAAACTATGAAAAATCGTCAGGACAGTTTGCTGACAAAAACTGATCTACCGGTAAAACTTTCTAACATCATCTTGAAATCATGTTTACACTTGTATCTACGCCTCTCTTTTTTCACTCTCTCTGGGAAACCTATCAGTCTATGGGCACTACAAGAGTTGCAAGATAAAATTTTAATAACGGATAATAAGTATGATTTGTTTTTGCAGCTTTTCTTAATAATTTTGTTTTCTGCTGGCAGGAAATCAAAAATTTCAGACTCTTTCAAAGAGATGACTCAAACTATGAGAGAACTACAGGAGAGTTTGCTGACAAATGCTGCTGATCTACCGGTATCTTATTTTTTTATATCGTACAGGCGTTTTCTTAATTTTATTTTTTTGTATCTTGAGAAAATTATGCTTTACACTTGTATTTGTTTATTTTCAAACTATTTCTTGAAAATAAAGACTTGCCTCTAAATTGATTCCAAATAAAATCTTGTTTTGTCTATAGGAGAAAGAAACCCCAAAGCCAAAGGTGAAACATGAGTGCTTAGTGGCAACTCTAGCTTCACAGATCATCAATGAGAGAACCATTTATGTGGAGGGATTTAAGACTTCCGTTCCTAAGGATGATATCAAAAACGCATTGATTAAACACTTCGAATCATGTGGAGAGGTCGCATGGGTTCTTGTTTTCTACGTGTGTGGTAGAAAAGAAAGCGAAGGGATTGTGACTTCTTCCTTCAACTTGTAACAAGTTGAGTTAAATGCAGTGGAAAAGCTTTATAACTTTTTTTTATTGTCTTTACAGATATGCTCTCATTGAAATGAAAAAAGATGATAGCAAGGCCTTATTAACACTCAATGGAAGTTACTTGGGACGAAAAAAGCTACAGGTTATGTTGGCAACGAAGAAACCCACCCGTTTTGACCGAGCCATTGGTGAGTGTTCAGTTTGTAATCGTAAAAGGGTCCATCGCATGATACGAGATAACTTCCGTAAACTCCCCAAGGTTATTAACGGCGTGGTTGTTTTTCCATATTAGCTCAGCCGAGATCGGTCCGGTCCTAAAAGACACCGGTACAGAAACTCATTTGTTCTTGATTATGATGGAATCATTTATTGCAAAATATATCTTCGACGAGAATAAACATGATATGTAAATTGCGTTTAGGGACTTAGTAATACCACAAATTGATATTGCTTAGTAATGAGAAATTGCTTCGCTGGTGGATACTGGATTATCATTTAATTGTTTACTTCGGAAATAGGATCTGAACAACTTTTGAAACACAATGCATAGAAGAACCCTAAGGATTACTATAAAAGAAAAAAAAAAAGCTCGACTTTTCCAACATTTACATTCACCAAGCGCGCAACACAGAGTACCAAACAAGAACATGAATTATGGTGAATGGGAAGTCACTTAAGAGAAGAGATCAAGCCTTCTTCGGAGATTTGACCGGTGACTTGGCTGGCTTTTCCTCAGCCGATTTAGCAGACTTCTTAGGTAGAAGAACAGAGTTAATGTTGGGCAACACACCACCGTGAGCGATTGTGACTCCGCTGAGAAGTTTCCCTAGTTCCTCATCGTTCCTGATTGCGAGAAGAAGATGCCTCGGAATGATCCTGGTTTTCTTGTTGTCTCTCGCGGCGTTACCAGCAAGCTCCAGAACCTGTAAATCAAAAATCCACCAATCAGATAAAAATGGTTTTCGCGAAAGAAAATATCAGATCTGAAGAATAAGAGAAATCGAGAAAAAAAAAAACTTACTTCGGCGGCGAGGTACTCGAGAACGGCGGCCATGTAAACTGGAGCTCCACCGCCGAGCCTCTGGGCGTATCGTCCTTTCTTCAGGAAACGAGTGATTCTCCCCACCGGGAACTGGAGACCGGCCTTGATCGATTTCGAGACGGATTTGGTCTTTGGGCCACCGGCTTTCCTTCCTCCGAAACCCTTCTTCACTTTTCCGGTGGTTTCCATTGCACAGATCAGAGATTAACAATGACGATTGGATGATTATAGAAGATGTAGTGGAAGGAAATTGGAGATTTGTAGTTTGACATTCGCGGTTATCCTTCTGATTTATAGGTGGATGCTGCTCAAATGGATGGGTTAAAGAAAGGACACATTTTTGTATCCGTTGGATTAAGTCTTATCAACGGTGGAAAACCAAATATTCGCGATCCTCGTCTCTTTGGATTAGCCAATGAGAAGCGGTATATGTTTTTCCGCAAGCCGCCACTTTATTTTTTTTGTCTACGTTTTGGAAATTTAAGTTTTTTGGGGTCAATGGAGGCAAAATTTTGAAATTCGCACTAATAAAGCAATTGCTATTTCAATATGTTTTGGAATTTTTATAAATATTAAGAAAACAAATTAAAATTTAATCATAGACATAAACCAAGAATGATTAAATAATTTCGATTATTTTTCTTAGAATTTACAATTTATCATCATTCACTAATAAAAAATGCATGATGTCAAGAAAAAAGAGGTAAAAAAAAACTAATAAAAATGCATACAAAAAAATTTTAATGGATTTTTTTGAAACAAAAATTAAATCTAAAATTCTTTAATAATACATAGAATATTTAAAATTTGTTTGCTAGCTAATAAGATTAATATCTGAAAAGTGCAAACCAGTATACATCTTACTAAATCTTCATTTTTGATGATTAGTTTTACATTTTCATTATATTATTAAAGTTATATATAGCAATATTGAATAGTTGTAAATAAATCATCGAATTTTTTTTTTTGGTTTTAATATTAAATTTTATACTAAAACTAGTATTTTGCTCCGTACTATGCACGGGTATTGATAGACTATACTTCATATTATTATTCTGTAAAAGATAGTTTTAAAAATAAACTAAGATATGAAATATTAAATCTAAAATATTCATACATATATAACGATAAATATATGTAGATAAATCTCAATCTGATTTAGTTACAAATTAATTAAGTTGGCGTTTTCTTAACTCTTTAGAAACGCATTGAAGTATAAGTTTATATTAGATTTACATATCTTTCTTCAGTCGATTATATTCTTTTGTTTGTGACTAATATAGTTTGTAAGTTGTAACACAACATAGTTTGCAAAACATATTAACTTTTTCTATTGTTGTCTTTTTTTCTTTACAGCACTTTGTTAATTACATTAATCTTTGATGTTTATTATAACCGTAAGTAGTTTAACATATCTTGATAATAATATATTTTTATTTAAAATCTAATGTTCAAAGTATGTAATAATAAAATTTATTTGATTGTATATACAAATCACATATATGTCTCGGTCGTCCTTCCTCCAATTCAAATTCCTTTGTTGTTGTTGTCGTTTACATCTTTGTTATGAAGACAGTTCCATGAGACTCAGCTTAATCATTTGTTGTTGTTGTCATCTTTTCTAGCTTGAACGTTTCTGACGTTTTACTTGTCTCCATGTTGTATGCGCCATTCTTTGCCATTGTTATCTCCTTTCTTATATCATAATGGTTGCTGCTGGTAATCATTTACCTTCAAACCAGAGAAAAACATAGTTAGATGAGAGTGGTGGGTTATTCTTACGTAAAGACATAGTATACCAAAATCAAAAGCTAATGCAAATCATAAATAAACTAATTAAAAAAGGTTATAGGAGAAATAGGAGTTTGCATGTGGACTTGATTATCGATCCTTGAAAAACCAGATTTCAAAGTTATAAGTCACATACTTATCTTACGAAAACAAATCTGTTTTGAAACTGAGAACTATTCGCATTCCGAGCATGTATATCTCAATCAGTCAAATCTTTTGTCCTCAGATATATTCATGTAGCCGTTTGAGTAACAAACAAACATTGAGATTGGAAGTAAACCTCCTTCCTTTTATCAAGTTCACCAACTCAATTTTATTTTTTGTATCCCCGATTCCCCGTATGTGAAAATATAAAAAAGAAACATGTTTCTTTGATGCATCATGCCCCAAAATAAAATTAAAAAAAGTTACCGTTTTGTAGAAAAGTTCGAGCACTTGATAGTTGGTTCAGATTGCCACACTATCGTCTCTATGATTTGAGAAAAATAATACATGACATCGTTATCTTTTCGAAATAGTTTAGCCGGTAATAAGTGAGAGAAGAAGATTGTGAAAACTATTGTAGATTTTTTTTTTCTTTTGTAGCTAGAATAATAAAATGGACTTTGTTTTTTCAGTATTATCTGATTCGAAAGAAGCGGTGGTTTTACTTTTTAATACTGAAACTGCAGAAGTTATGAAGTAGTGAGTGGTTTGGCGAGTATATAGGATCTATAGATAAAGTTTTAAAAAATAGTAATTCAAAAAGAAAATTTAAATAGAAAACTAAAAAATATTTTAATAAAAAAATTAAAAATGACACATGTCAAACTCACAATTGCCAACTGACTTGTGCTTTATAAGACCAACCCCAATGGTAACACCAAGGGATCTAATAAATGTTCTTAAGAATATAATTGAATAAAAAAATTATAAGAAGTGTCTTAACTTTTAGACCAGTGTCTAAATTAGGATCTTTGTTCTTATTTAAGAACGGATACGTGGCAGATTATAAGTGGATAGGGAAAATTGACAAAAAAATATTTTATTTTTATTTTTCGTTTCTGTCTTCCTCTTTCTCTCTAACTGGTTCAGTTCGGTTCGGTTTGCTGAATCGAACGGTTACCCAAATTTTTTTTTTATTAAGAAAAACAAATTATACCAAAATATATCAAATTATACCGAATCGAATATTCAAACTATCCAAAAATATCCGAAATAACCCGAATCTATCCGAAATTAACCGAATTTAACCTAATTTAAAAAAAAAATTAAAAGTTTGGATAGTTTCAGATAAGAAACTTCGGTTATTTTCGGTAGAATTTCAGTAATACAAACTATCTGATTATCCAAATTATCCGATTTAAATTATCCGAAGTATCCGAAATCTCATACCTAGCAACAAGCATTGGAATTCTAAAGGAGAAGGCTTCTCAGCAAGCATTGAATTGCATTTCTATAATTTATATGTTTATATGTATTACCTTTGTGAAAATATATTATGATTTAAAATTTGTTAAAATAAATTTTACATAAATTTATTAATTTTTTTTTTAAGACACTCATCAAAGTGTCTCCATTGTATGCTTAAAAATAATAAAATTCTACTAAGTGTCTTTTATATATAAAGTACACAAAATATTAATAATTAATCATTAAGACCTTTTATAGTGGTGTTACCATTGGGGTTGCTCTAAGTATAAAGATGAAGTGATTACATATACATACGTACTACCTAATCCATTTGCTCCCTTATGAGATTTACAAAACAAGATATATAACACATTTGGATCGTACATTCGTACGTTACAGCAAATGTGAGAAACAACCAAAGTAAAACTCAAAAAGAGAAGAAAAAGCATTCGGGTCCTTCGACAAGAAGGAAATAAACGTTTCCGCATAGTGCAGTCCAATACAGCTTTGATAGTGGCAGCAGAAGAAAACACGAAAGAGGAAATTCTTGTTTTACGTACGTTCTCGTCGTATACCTGAAGAAGGTGCTTTCCGACAAACTGAAGAGAAAATATTTGATAGCTCTGATAGAGACGGTAGAGGAAGAGACGAGAGACAATTTTTGTAAATGTTCTCGCTATATATGATATGATATTACACGAAGAAAGATATTTGCGATATCCGAAGAGAAAGCACTTAGAATATACATGTTTTGCAAGATCCAATTCGGATTTTGTTTTACGACGACCATAAAAGTTTAAACTAATTTTGTTTTTGCATTATTGGCTAACAAAAAAAGTCTCGACATAATAGTCAAAATAAGATCCGAGATCCGCTATGAATACTTGGTTATTTGGGGTCGGGTCCAATGGAGAATAGTAATTATTCGGAAATGAGATATGCTCCTAACAATAGGATTTATGGGGATTTTTCAACAACAACAAAAAAAATACAAAAAAGGACATACTATGAACAAAAAAATAATATACGGTGTTGTGAGAATCATCCTTGGTACTAACGCGATTAATCGATGATGAAACGCATTTTCGGTAATAAAAAGGTCTTTAGTGTGTTCATGGACAATTGTTAATGCTGACGGGAGACCCTTTAGTGCTAACAATATGCATTGTACTGCTGTAAACAAAAACTCATTACCATTGACGAGACATGTTCCTTTGGTGATGAGATTTTATAATTACTATTGTCAAATTCGTAATCTAAAACGATATGAGACATGGTGTTATGGAGCAGAGACAAATAGAAGCAATCAACTAACAAACCCCTAAAAGCTATGTATACCCTTAACATTTCTAAATAACAACGACCAAGAACGCTAACAAATGTTTTATAGGAACTAAACCTTGTTTTTCTTTTCTTAACTTTACTTTTTTTTTTTTTAAACTTTACTTTATATCATCTAATAAGAACATTTTTTAACTTTACTTTACACATGTTTCATAGGAAGTAAACGTTCCCAAATCGAGAACCCGAGTCGCACACTCCAACTTTTCCCAAAAACAGAAGAGGAAAAACAGCACAAGAAGGCATGTCGTCGGGACCATAGTTGCGCCATGCATGAGCCCACATTAGGAGCTTCTCCTTGCCGGAGAGAGGAGATACCAATGGTGACGTACAATCACTGGAGGAGTTATTTCTGACTGGAGTAGTGTTTCGATGGACACGGTGGTTGCACTCACGCCAGAAGAAATAACAATTTGTGGTTCTAACAAGGATGTCAGCAGAAATGTTGTTATATATCTCCTAAATCAACAAAATATCAAATGGAGACATTGTAACGCGGTTTGTTTATATAGTTGATACAAGATTTGGCTATGTATATTTATATTTAATTTTTAGAAGGAATCAACACAAAGGTGATGTTTAGCGCGTGTAAGCATCATTACACACATACGTGTAGAAAATTAGGACTATTAATTTCTCGCAAAATCAGAATCGAAGATGAATTGATATATTCCACGTGGCAGTCCTTGAATGGAATATTCCAGCTCCACTCAGCTGGCTTCCATCACAGGCTATCATGATAGTTGAGTAGAAAGTGGAGCCACCTGAGAGATCCCCAAGAGAGAGCCATATGCGTCTTCGACCTTTCATTTTATTCTTTCCTTTAAAAGATAGGAACTAGTCCTCCTTTTTTTTTTTCCTAACGATAAGATAGATAAACGGGAGATTGCAAAATCACCCAATATAAATTATGAACTACAGTATTGATTATGATAATATTTATTAGTCAAGTTATACTTAAATTATAATCATGCTAGTTTAGTTTACTTTACATGAAAAGCACTATTGAATAACTGCATAAATTCGATAAGTAAACATACAAAATTAATTTGAAAAAATAATTTGATTCTTTGACACCAAAGTAGATAAGTTATAGTAATGGCAGTATCTACCATTAATAAAAAAACAAATAGAGTTTTTGAGAGAACCAATTTTCATTTGAAAAGTATTAAACTAATATTGATTTAGTTAAAAATCTGAGATTTGGAATATGTTTTTTGATTTTGTGTTAAGAACATCTATAATCATAAATTTGCTCCCTTATATATAGATTTCATATTTGAGATATAATTTGATATGTTACTAATAAGAGATTCTCATTAATGGAGATAAAATTTTAACAACAAAAAAAAATTCAATGGCGATAAAGTTTAAGATTCAATTTAAAATTAAGCTCTACTAAAAATATCAACATATCTCTCACCAACAAAATTACTCTTATGCTTCTACGTAAAAATGATCACAAATAAGATAATATACAATAAAAGAGAAGTTTTCTAGAGCATTTATATTATACTAGGTGGTTGCCCGCACATATGTACGGGTATAATTTTTTTTATATCCATAGTTAATTATAATATTCAAATGTTGATTAGTTTTTTTAAACATTGGTATGTTTGTATATATATTGTTTTAATATTTCACAAATTTTTTTATAAAATCAACATATTTTAAAACCTTATTTTTATAATGCTTGTAATAATATATAATCACAAATATAAAAGTTATGTTAAATAATAATTAAAATTTTATAATATTTTTTGAATATTTCTATAATATGCTTTATTTCTCCTTACACAATCTACAATATGCTTTTTCATCTTACATAATATGAATTTGCAAACACACATATAATATGTTTTAAGTATATATTTTTCTTGATTTATTACAAATTAAACTGAAATAGTTTTTACCATTTTTACTTATTCTTAAGAGCGGATAGATGGTTGACACGCATGTGTGGACATACCAACCACTTCACTATACTTAAAATAGATAAATATTTTTAAAAAATATAAATTGTATAATCATTAAAATAAAAATTTGTCTGTAATCAATCTTAACAAAATACATGCACGGAAAAGTTCGCATGTGACTTCAACTAATGTACAATTAATATTTATGTATGTATGCGTATTTGTAAAAAAATTGAAGTATGGCTCTTAGGTATTAAAAAGTTTTTAAGTGACTTTGTAAAACAAAGTGCAAGAGATTTATTTTTATATACTTCTATTTTTATTTTGATTATAATTTATTCTTTCGTTCAGTTATTTTTTATTTTATTTATGTTCTCAAAATTTTGATATACAATGAAAATAAATTTATGTATATATAAATATATACATACATATGATATAAATTTTAGTTTTATTTAAAATATGATAAGAGATAAGATGAGACGGTAACATAAGTTATGTACATTTTAGAAAACAACAATAAAAAGATGATAAAAGGTATTAGAAAAATATATGGTCCTATTAATATTATAAAATAATAATTAGTATATAATTTATTCATTTAGTAAATATTAGTTTGAAAAGAAAAATTATTTAAAATTACGTTTTTTTTAAAAAAATTTAATAAAAGTTAACTATTTTTTTATTATTTTTAACATTTTATTCTTTAAATTATCTTTATCATGATTGTATTTTATTTAAAATTGTATTATTTAATATTTTGTTTATTTAAAACTTGTTTAGATGTTATTAATATATTTTGTAAATTAATAACTTTTCAAAATAAAAATATATCATACTTCAAGTATTATTAATAAATAGAATTTTTATTATTCTATTGGATAATTTAGTATTATTTTTTCGTTTTATATGAAATTATAATATATATATATATTGTTGAAATTTTTTCGTAATTATATTTTATGAAATTATGAATATATGTAAAAAAATGAAATTATAATAACTTTTATTTTTTTGTTAATTTAAATTTATTAATTTAGTGTTATGAATATAGTCTAGTTTATTTATGTTTTAATTCCACAATTTTTATAATTTTAATTCAACCAATCAAAATATTTCGTTTATTTTAGGAAGTTTGACATGTCACATTTACATGTCATCAATTAAAAGCACTAACTTTGGCTGTAGTGTTGACAAGTCAGCTATTTTCAATAATGTTACTTTTCAAATAATATGTAGTGGATTTTAATGTATTTTCATAATTTTAATTTTTGAAGATTTATTACAGAAATTAAATCCTGAGTTTAATTATGTATTTTGATAAATTATGCTTTTATGCCTACGTATTAAAAAGAAAATGAAGGTCACCGAAGGTAAATTAATTAGATGTAAAAAGAAAAATAAAAAACGCGGTTCCGCATAAAGCTGAGGAAAAGGAAAAGCGAAAAGCAAAGACACCGAAGAAAAACAAAAGACTCCATAATCTCCTGCTTCTTCGTCTCAGCAAGGATTTTCTCTGAAACTAATTTGATTCAGCCATGGTGAGCTCGATTTCTGTTTTCTTTTTCTCGAATTTATACACATATCTCTCTGATTTCTGCTAGTTGATTTAGAGTGCGCTTCTCGATTCCAGTTCCATTTCGTTTTGTTTCGTCTCGGTTTTTGATTCTTCGGATTTCGGTTCTCGCCCAAAGTCTTATCTGATTAGATCTGAAGATTGGACTCGTTCGTTGGTTTAGATCTCTGAGTTTTTGGGTTTGTAGGGTCAGAATAATAGGAATCGGACGACAAACTATACAATTTCAGTGTGATAGTTTTGGTTGAGCTAATTGGTTTTTTAAAATCCAGAAGAAATCTGGCTGTTACATGTGTTTATCTGTTGAATTTAGGGTTAACGCAAAACGTTTGTTGAGCTCCTCTCCAGTGACATAATCCATCGTTGTATTGAAATCAGAATTCTCGCTTCTCTAGATTACTATCGCTGTAGTTGAAGTGTGGATTGTTCATTTCAGATATGTGTTTTTGATTCTATTGATGGACGCTGTCATTTGATTTATAATCCATAATCCTACAATCTGTAAGATTTGATAGCTCTACACCAATCGTTCATATATGTTGTTGAAGTTACCTGCGTCTTCCTTTAGATATCTGTTCATGGTTCAGTTACATGTAGCTAGAGATGTTTAGTTTCTACACTGACCTATTTTTGATGTAGAAACTAATGTGTGTCTTCCTCTTCAATGTGTGTGTGTGTGTGTTTGAGCTTTGAAGATAGCTGCGTCTTAGTCTTCTTTGTTTCGTCTGTAACAGGCTAATGCGGCATCAGGAATGGCAGTCCACGATGACTGCAAGCTGAAGTTTCTGGAACTGAAGGCGAAGAGGACATACCGTTTCATCGTGTACAAGATCGAGGAGCAGCAGAAACAAGTGATCGTAGAGAAACTCGGCGAGCCTGGTCAATCCCATGATGACTTTGCAGCGAGTCTTCCAGCTGATGAATGCCGATACGCCATCTTCGATTTCGATTTCGTCACTGCTGAGAACTGCCAAAAGAGCAAGATTTTCTTCATCGCATGGTATGTAACTTACAGCTCTATGCTAAAAATAGGTTTATGTTTATGTCGGCTTCATCGTCTTCTTTTTTTTTAAAAAAAAAGATCTCTTGTTGTTTTGGTCAAGGTCTCCGGACACAGCAAGAGTGAGAAGCAAGATGATTTATGCGAGCTCTAAAGACAGGTTCAAGAGAGAACTAGATGGGATTCAAGTAGAGCTTCAGGCAACTGATCCAACTGAGATGGATCTTGATGTTTTCAAAAGCCGAGCCAATTGAGGAAGAGACCCTCGAAAAGAAGAAAAAAAAAACTTTTTTCTATTGTTACCGAGTGATGCTTTTGCTTAAAGTTTGCTGTGACGGCACCAAACCAAAACAGCTTCATTTTATCTGTCTTTAGTCTTTGTCTTCGATGTCTTTTTTTGGCCCTTACAGTGTTGTTGTCTTAAAGAGATCTGGCTTGTGCTCTTTTACCATTGTGTAAGAAACCAAAACCTATCAAAGATGAAATCCTGTTGGCACAATTCTCTACTCTTCATATTCGTAATTTCGCAACCAGATTCTTTGTTCTAGTGATTTAGGGATTAAGAGAACTAAAGCAAAAATTATAATGGGTGTGCAGATTTATGAAACTACTGATTCAGGGATCAACTTATAATATGAAAAATTTAGCCACACAGATCCAGGATATACTTTGTATGTTCTTGAGATCTCTAGATTGTAATACATTTTCATCTTGACATTTTTTTAAGTGAGTCATAATTTTCATGTAACATATGGTAAATTATCGATACAACATGGCCTGAATAACGAAAAGACTTGCTCGGTCGATGCTAATCCATTGAGATTTGAAAATATGACGCCAAGACTTTATCCTAATTGACAGTTTTCAATCTTTGGAAACAGATCCAACCATTAGCGATCCTCTTTTTACGCAAGGTTTCCAACTGTCAAATCATGTAGACTTTGGTAGAACTTATTGAATTGCGTAAGATATAAATTGTCAGAACATATAAAATAACAATATAGGACATTTTATCCTTTTCGCCAAATGAAAAGGATGTAAGTTTATAGAAAATATATGATCCACATTAGTATCCATGGTCGAGAGAGTCTAGACGGACGGATTAATCCGGCGCATTCGAGTATTATCACCTACTTTTGTTATCTTTGATGTCATATGACACACAAACGAATCCGAAATGCACCAAATGAAATGGTTGTTTTCATAATCCGGATTCGTCTGCCTTGTGATTTTTTTTTTATCTCTTAAGAACGATTTGATCTTCCTTATATGACACGAGCAAAGATAACAAACGTAACGCAAATAGAGATTTATAATGAAGATAATGCTGGTATTCTACTATTCTTACACCCTTAAAGGTAATGCTAATGGTGAGTTACCACTTACATTACATGATTCAAATCCTAATCAAGGACAAGACAATTGTTGGGCGAAACGAGCTTAAATCGCTTGAGGTTATGTGACCAGTCCTGTGTCCTCGACGACTCTTCTTTGTAACGTGGCCACGTAACCAATGAACACATGCTCAATGTGGTCTCACCCATAAAGAACCAAATAAAGAAAGCAATTGTTAGACAATATACAACTCGTCTAAACTAAATTTATATATACAGTAAGCGGCAGTGGTGATTTATTTGAATTAAGTTATATACTTATATACATATGAGCTTATGATTAGGGAGATTTACACAAGTAAACCAAAACCAGATAGCTTGTAACAAATTGTGAAGAGAAAATAAAACTACTGTAGTCAGAGAACATATTTTTATGGTAAATGAAGAATTATATCTTGACTAAAGCAAAAATATAACAAGCTTACCATATAGTTATAGTTCATAAATAGAATAATATGTATGGTATTGGTGTAAAAAAAAATCAAAGCTGAAATGAGTTTCTCTATATATACGATTGTATATAGCTTCCAAATAACGCCGAAGAAAAAGGAAAAGAGAAAAAGAAGTCATATTCGAAGAAAAACATCTTCTTCTCTGCAACTCCTTTCAGCAGGAATTTTCTTTGACAGCGTTTTGATTCAGCCATGGTGAAACTCTAATTTTTGTTCTTCTCTATTGTTTGTTTCCAGTTCTTCAATTTTAAAACTCGCTTATCGATTTTGGCTTTCGACTCGGATTTGTTAACGATTTCGGGCTCACTAGATCTGGATGATGGATTTTTTTTTCTCCGATTAGATCTTTGAGATTGTGTGTTTATGTGATCGGCGGTACTGATCTAGGCTAGGAAAACAAAAAATATACTGACGAACAACTCACAACAGTGTTATGCGTCGCTAAGCTAGAATCGAAATCATGAAGAAATCTGGTAGTTTCGTGTATGTGTGTGTGTGTCTCTCCCTTGAGTTTATGGTCACTTCTGCGATTTATCGAACCGTTTCTACAATCATATTCGCTTGTTTGATCCATCGTGATTCTTGTGTGTTTGAAATCGATTTTCCTCATTTCTCACGATGACTATTGTTGAAATCGAAGTCTAGATCGTTACTATAGAAATGTATTAACCAGTAGATACCCAGTTCATGATTTGAGTTATTTTAGTTTTAGAGGTTTCAAGAAATTGCTCAAGACTCACAAAACGTAGATCCTTGGTTTTAGCAATGTGTGGATACAATTACAAGCCTAGCTGATCTTTGTGAGATCTGGAAATGTTTTTATATGTAGTTGTGTGTGTAGAAGAGATGTGAATCTAAATGCTTTCGTTGTTGTTTTTGTATTCGATACCAGGCAAACGCAGCGTCGGGAATGGCAGTCCATGATGACTGCAAGCTCAGGTTTCTGGAGCTGAAGGCGAAAAGGACGCACCGTTTCATAGTTTACAAGATCGAGGAGAAGCAGAAGCAAGTGATTGTTGAGAAAGTTGGTGAGCCTATTCAAACCTACGAGGACTTTGCAGCAAGCCTTCCAGCTGAAGAATGCCGCTACGCCATTTATGATTTTGACTTTGTCACCAAGGAGAATTGCCAGAAGAGCAAGATTTTCTTCATTGCGTGGTAAAATCATTCATGGTTTCCTCCGCTCTTACCCATCTACATTTGTCCATTTCTTACCTTGTGATGATGATCAATGGTGTGGTCTGTTGTTTTTTTTTGGCGAAAGGTGTCCGGACGTAGCGAAGGTGAGAAGCAAGATGATCTATGCGAGCTCCAAGGACAGGTTCAAGCGTGAGCTTGATGGAATTCAAGTAGAGCTTCAGGCAACGGATCCGACTGAGATGGATCTTGATGTTTTCAAAAGCCGCGTCAACTGAAGGAATTTGAACTCTCTCTTTGAATAAGCTTCTTTTGGCTCATATTCTACTTATTCTGAAATGGTGTTTTCTTCTTCTCTCTTACAGTTTCTTGTGACTGTTATAAAAACCTAACACCCTTCATTCTATCCATCTGCTCTGTCTTCTGTGTCTTTGTTACTCAAAACAGTGTTTCATTTATATTGAAAATTTATCCGAAGGTTTGTGCCAATGTTTGTATAAGATGATTCCTTTAATCTTCCTTTGTTCTCTTCGTTACAGGTTGAATTGAAAATGCAAAAACTGTTACTAATCTAGACTAACAAAACTATGTCCTATTTTTTTTTTTAACTGATTGAGAGATGTGAAGGAATGTTTCAACTTACACAATTACAAAAGGGGTCAAGGATCACGAACTAGAGTCATTCGACGAAATAGGTGTTCCATAGGTTTTGGAGTTCGGCTTCAAGCCTTGTCTCAACATCTCACTCCTCAACTCAATCGCCTTGTCCGTATCTCCAGACACACAGCAACCATGTATCAGGGTGTTATACGCTACTCTATCGGGCCTTACGCCTTTTTCCCTCATCGAGTTCCATAACTCAATCGCTTTCTTCACGTCGTTCTTCCTACAGAACTCATAGATCATTGTTGTGTAGGTTATACAATCAGGGGATACACCATTGCCTGTCATCCTCGTGACGAGCTCAGAAGCTTCATCCATTCTCCCTTGTCTACAAAACCCACGGATCAACATATTGTATGTAGCAGTGTTTGCTAAAAGCCCGTTCAACATCGCATTGTGGAGCTCCACAGCTTTCTCCATGTCTCCTTCTCCTTTGGTGAGAATGTCGAGAAAACAACCGTATGTTACTTGGTTCGGAAACGAATTGCCAGGGAGCATTTTCGAGTAGAGAATCTCAGCTTCATTTACAAACCCGGCTTTGCATAATCCGTTGATAACAGCAGTGTAAGTGACTTCATTAGGTACACATCCTTCGGTTACCATCAAATCCCATATCTCAAATGCTTCCTCGAAATCTCCGGTTTTGCTCTTTGCATCAATCATACTTGTATACATCACATCATCAGGCTTTAGTCCTCTACCATGCATCTCCTTTAAGAGTCCAAGAAACATCTTTCGATCATTGTGCTTTAAACTTCCATCTATGAGAACACCATAGCACACAAGGTCCAAATCCACCCCTCTTTGTACCATCTCCTGACAAACGCTTAACGCCTCCTCCAATCTACCTTCCCTGCAAAACCCGTGTAAGAGTGCAGTATAACACATCTCATTTAGCTCATGGCTTCCCTCGTGAAGCCCATCCACGAACTCTTTGGCTTCCGAAGCTCGACCTGTGAAACATAGTCCGTGTATCAACGATCTATAGGTATATGTATCCGGTGCAATACCTTTCCCTATCATCTCATTCTGCAACTCAAAGGCTTTAGCCATGTCTCCTTCCTCGCAATAACCTTCAATCATGACATTATACGTCACTCTGTTAGGCTTAATCTTCCATTTCGCCATCTCGTTAAATAGATTTACTGCATCACCAATCAACCCCGCACGAAAAAGACCGGATATAAGCGTGGTGAATGTATAGATACTCGGCGCAATACCTTTCCCTGTCATCTCATGATAGAGCCTAAGAGCTTTGTGTATCTTCCCTTTGCTGCAATAACCACCCATCAATGACGTGTATGTTACCACCGTTGGCTTCAACTTTCTATTGATCATCTCCGCCATGAAACTCTCAGCTGCATTAACGTCACCGAACTTGCAGTGCCCGTTAATCAAAGAGTTGTATGGATAAACACTTGGTTTGAAACCCGCACTAATCAATTTTCCCAAGAAACTAAATGCAGTGTCAAGTTTCCCTCTTCTGCAAAACATATCTATCAAAATTGAATAAGTCACATCATTCGGACACAACTCGATTTTCCCCATCCTATCAAATAGCAACTCAGCTTCGTCAAACTTTCTACATTTGCACAGTAAGTCAAGCCATGCATTGTACACGAAAAGTTTAGGCGACACACCAGTTTCCGCTATTCTTTTAACCAAGTTAAGAGCCTCTTCAATCTTCCCCTGCTTCCTTAATCCCACAACTAAAGTTGAAACCGCATCTTCACTAGGACTCAAGCTCAAGCGTAACATCTCATCCATCATCTCCAACCCGACCTCAAATTCTTGCGCTTTACACATCCCGTGGACTAAGGTACAATATGTTACAACATCTGGTTTCAGATCCTTTCCAGCTAAACTGTTCTTTATCTCAACAGCCTCCCAGACTTTCTGCTTCTTACAAAACCCATTTATCAACACATTATATGGAACTATATTCACATCACACCCCGTAGCCTCCATACGAACAACCATTTCTCTAGCTCGAGAGAGATCTTTCAACTCGCACAGGCTATGTATCACTCCTGAGTAAATGTATACATCAGGACGAATACCCACATTGATCATTTCGTCAAACAACTCCATCGCCAAACCATAATGCCTACAATGAACTAATCCATGTAAGAGAGCACTCAAAGTCCTCACTTCAGGCAGCAAACCAAATTTCGTCATCATCCTAAACACCAAAACCCCATCTAAAGCTCTCCTACTTCGTACATAATGCTGAATCAACAAATCAAAACTCGAGCTTGAGCTAAGCTTACATTTTTCGTAACAGCTAAAAAGCGCATGAAAAGCCTCACTTGGCTTCAGCCCACGAAGGAGAAGCGTCTGCAGTAGAGACGACGCAGGCCAGAAGAGTTCAGCATTGACCAAAGCATGGATCAAGATGCAAAAGGACGCCGTTGAGTGGTCGAATCCTCTGTGCAAACCGAGGAAATTGAAAAACCGAAGACCTAATTTGGGATCATCTAGATTTCCGATCAGAATCTCTTCGACATGGCAATGCTTCAATCTCACTGAGACGAGCTCTCTGCTCAATGCGATCTCCCAGCTCCGTTTCCCCCGCACGATTCTTTTCACGGCATCGACGAATTGCCAATCTTCAGTGATTCCACTGCCGTTTTGAGCCGAATCGATCACAGAGCTTATATTTCTGCAGTAATGGCGAAAATGAGAGCTTGATAGTGATCGAATCGTGCGAGGGAGCTTCATCAAAGAGGTTCACCGTCAAAAAGCAGCATTTCTGTCTACGCGTTATGAACAACAAACCGATATCTGGGAACCGGCCGAGTTGGATCGACTTCGGTCGGGTCGAAGTCTGGGTTGAGAACGTTATATCTCAAATGGGCCAAAAATTGGGCTCACTAGAATAAATGGGCCGATGTAGAAAGGCGGGGGCGGGAAAAGAAAAAGCGCTAAACTCGACACGTCAACAGTCCCCGCCACCAAGTGTAGCCAATAAGATCCATCACGTGTGAGGGCTTTCCTTCTTTTTAAGATTCCTTTTAGGCCGTCGATATCGTTCTATTAAAAAAGCAGATCTAACGGTGTAGACATCGATCCGCGTCGAACTATTTGATCCAATCATATAAATTCTTTCGGTGTATATAAAAGCAATCCCTCAAGTCCTTGAAGATATCAAGCAATCCAAAGCATTTTCATCTATTCGATCTCAGATTTGTACTTGTTATCCCTAGAAAACCCGATTAAGAGAGAATCCATGGCGCCCAAGGGAGAGAAGAGGCCCGCGGAGAAGAAGCCGGCCGCAGAGAAGCCGGTTGAGGAGAAATCGAAAGCCGAGAAAGCTCCGGCGGAGAAGAAACCAAAGGCCGGGAAGAAGCTCCCGAAGGAGGCTGGCGCAGGCGGTGACAAGAAGAAAAAGATGAAGAAGAAGAGCGTCGAGACTTACAAGATCTACATCTTCAAGGTGCTGAAGCAGGTGCATCCCGATATCGGAATCTCGAGCAAGGCTATGGGGATCATGAACAGTTTCATCAACGACATCTTCGAGAAGCTCGCTCAAGAGGCGTCGAAGCTTGCGAGGTACAACAAAAAGCCAACCATCACTTCCCGGGAGATTCAGACCGCCGTGAGACTTGTGCTTCCCGGAGAGTTGGCAAAGCACGCCGTTTCGGAGGGGACCAAGGCCGTCACGAAATTCACCAGCTCCTGAACTACGAGTTAGGGTTTCTCTCTATCTGGAATGTTGCTTAGGGTCAAATCGAAATTCCTAATGGTCGAATTAGGGTTTTTAGAGTGTCTTTATCCTTGTTTGGTATCGTATCGTTTGCAATTTCACAGTTTTTGTAATTACTGCCATTGATATGTTTGGAATCTAAATTTGCTCTTTGTGTCTCACAATCTTATCGCCTTTAGATTGAAAACGCCAGTATTCTAGATGTACCAATGCGTTTTTTCCTATTTATAATCGAATCTTTTAAGAAAATGATCCCAATTGATTTCATTTTCTCTAGTAATACCCAATTAAGGAATCTCTGAATCAATTTCAAAACATGCATCTGCTACATAGTTGTGTTCTTTCCGCAAAATTATACTACCTTATTTGAGAATTATGTGTTCAATATGCAACAACTCTCTGGTGCTCAAATACTTGATGTGGCTCCACACCACTTGTTATGAGTTTGTGGTGTTTACAAATGCTGCTGGTCTCGTCTTTATATAACATTTGAGAGAAACTGACGAATTCTCTCAGAAATTTTTGGTTAAAATATAATTAAGATTTATCAAGATACGATTGCTTTTGACTTAACTTACTAATCAAAGGTCCCAAGGACAAGCATGAGTCTATATATAAGATCTGAGGGAGCTAGTGGGAAGAGTTTAGAACACATTCCGCAAGTCTAATGAAAATCGAAGCTTCTCTTTGTGCGCAATGTAAATAGCTTAGCACCAACACTCTATGCGCAATAATAGGTGTTTTGCGTATGTTACTTTTTTTGTAGTATGGTCTATTTTGGTGCAAGAATACTACGGAGTATATCTATCAGATACATGTGAAACTTGTCTTGATTTATGATTTTTTATCATGTTCAGAGTTTTTGTGATTTTCATGTGAACATCTACGTTTTTTATTCTATTCTTTTTTTTTTTCTTGACAATTAATTGAACAATGCAACTCTAGGTGCCAAAACGTCACTCATGATCCAAGACCAAATGTGACGTTATGTTAAAACCTTTTAGCTACTCCCACCCTAAATTGGCATTGATGTCGAGACATCATGCATGTGAGAGAGTATGTAGAGTAACATCAACGCAACGAAAAGAGAATTTATTCCATGACTTAGACCACAAGGTTTTTTTATGTTTGAAATTTTGGAAAAGAATAACGTGAGAAAAACAACATTTTCATTTATATGACACGCCATTGTCCATTGCATGTATTGATGGAAGAACTCGATTCTTAGTTTCTAAATTTTGAAAAGATAAAAGAGGCATATATATTATGTATATATAGATACCTTCCGGTTTCAGTTTTACAGATCTCATCAAACAAACCTGAAACCTCTTTTTATCAAAAAAAAACCTGAAACCTCTTTCATTCCATATACATTCGATACACACCACCACACATGGAAACTATAACGTGTAATCTACCCATCCACGAGCATCCCCTTTTATTAGATAAGTTTGCCAACACGTTTGAATGTCATGGCTGCAAACTACAAGAAACCATGAACGACGGCTACTTTTGCAATGACTGTCGTGTCTGGTTCCATAAGTCATGTGCCGAAGCCTCGTTCGATAAAGCATCATTTCTTCTACCCATCCACGAACATCCCCTCATGTCTATAGCTAATTTCATCAAGATTGAATGTCGTGGCTGCCATGTAGAAGAAACCATGTACGGAGGCTACTACTGCAATGAAATTGTTTGTAGTGGCAGTGGCATTGGCGTGTGGTTCCATAAGAAATGCGCCGACGAAGCCTCGTCGGAGATCAACCACCTTTCCCACCCCCAACATCCTCTGCTGCTCACCAACGACTTGGGAGGTGGTCCATGTGCTTTGTGTGGAACAAAGCTGCTGGGCCCATGTTATAGTTGCTCCACATGTGAATTCAAGGTGGATTTGATCTGTGGAACGAAACCACCACCGTCTGCTATTGACCATCCTGTGTGTCATGACCATCCACTTGTCTTCTTGAAGAAAAAAGAAGGCGACAAGGAGAAGAAGGAGGAGAAGTCTCCTTGTGAAGTGTGCAAGGAGTCTATCTGTGGACCATCCTTTTCATGTCTTGAGTGCAACGCGTTCTTCCACGTGGAGTGCGTCAGTCTTTCGAAAGAGGTAAATCATCCTAACCACCCTAATCATCCTCTCAAGTTTACCGCATTCGATACACTCACAAATGATGCCGAGAAGACATGTCTTTTGTGTGGCGAAGAAACAAAAAACACACTTTATCATTGTTCCATTTGCAACTTCAGCACATGCCTTGTTTGCACCAGAAACCCACCTCCTCTTGTGATTAACCACACCACGACCCACAAACATCAACTTACCCTCTTTCCCAAGAAAATGGCATTTACATGTGATGTTTGTTGGGAAGAAGGCAACGGGGCGCCTTATTATGTATGTCTTCAGTGTGGTTTTGTTATCCACGGGTGGTGTATCGACTTCCCACTCGTCATAAACATCAATCGTCATGATCATTGCATTTCTTTCACTCAGTTTCTCGGCGTTGGGTATTCCAAATGTGGAGTTTGCCGCAAAAGTTTCAATCAGTACCATGGGGCTTATACGTGCTCTATTTGTCCAAACTATGCAGTTCACTCTCAATGTGCGCGAAGGAAGGACGTATGGGATGATATAAATTTGTTATATATTCCGAATTATACCCAAGATATTGCACCATTCAAGGTGGTGGATGACGGCTTGATGAATCATCAGAGTCATAGGAAACATAATTTAAGACTTCAGAAACACAGCAGCATCGTTCATGATAAGTGGTTACGATGTGAAGCATGTACCCATCCGGTTAGCTTTGACCCCATCTACTATTGTGAGGAATGTGGCTTCGTTCTTCATGAAAAGTGTGCTAATCTTCCTTTGAAGAAAAAACTTATCTTTGACATCTATCCATTCTGGTTGAAATTTGGTAACTTACTTATATCATGCGACTTGTGTAGAACGTTTTCTCTAGGTTTTATGTACGTGGGGCTAAACAATAAAAAGGCGTTTGATGTACATTGCGGCTCCCTCTCTGAGCCGCTCGTACATGATGGCCATTACCATCCACTATACTTTCACAAAAACGATGGTCGCTACTGCGACGGATGCCATTACAGTGTGGTTGGTTATGTGTTCCGTTGTGATGATTGTAGCTTTCACTTGTGTTTTTATTGTGCTTCTTTGCCAAAAAAGATTTGGCATACGAACGATGAGCACCCTCTCACTTTACACTGTGGCGAAAAGGTGAGCGACAACAATTGGTGCGACAGTTGTGAAAGGGAAATAGATCCATGTAAATGGTTCTATACGTGCTATGATTGTGAAGTCAGTTTGCATGCACGGTGTGTCCTTGGAGATTTCTCACGTCTCATGGTAAAACGACTCGTTAACTATGGGGGTATAAGATTTGAGGTGGTTCATAACAATCACAGCACTCGGCCATTATGCAGCCAGTGTCACTCTCGCTGCATGGTCCCCGCCATCCTAAAGTATTGTGATTATAAAGACAATGGATACATCTGTTCGATTCCATGTTTAGTAAGTTCTATTTGGGGATAAGATCCAATTCCAATAAACTCGGATCTAATTGAGAGAGAAGAGGAGACCTGCAGCATGTCGCAGCTCCGTTTATCGTACCTGTTTCATATCATCGTTGTGTGTATTGTTTAATTTGCTACGTACCTTAACTTATTGCCAAGTACCGACCGAAATGTTATTATAGGGAATCGTTTCTTTCTCCGTTTATTGTTAAGTATCAATATTTGGGTGTTTTTTTTTCTTTTTCGAAATGTTACTAAAATTTGTATTGAATGTGGTAAGAGAGAAAGTTTCCACAATCTCAGATCATTTCCATCAGTTGTTTTTAAACAAGTATCTCACTATTAATAAATTCAAAAAAAGAAAAAAAGTGAGAGAAATAAGAAATTTGAAAACCTTTAACACTTTCTCAATGCTTTGGATACTTCTCTTTTAGTTATGGGTAAATTTATTAAAATGCCTAAAATAATGGTAAAATTAAGAAAGTTGAACTAATAATTAGAAATTAGGTTGATACATTATACATAGTAATTATGACTATTTTGCTCTTATAATTATTTGATACGGTTTTGATAGATAACAATTCAATTAACATGCTTACAATATAATATCATGATAACTGTGTTAATAATAATAACTAATATGATGCTCGATTAGCACATTGTACAAATATAAAGTTAACATGATAATTATCAGGTTAATATTGCTATTATTTCATGAAAAATAGAAGTTAACTTTGTTTGATTAGCACATTGTACAAAATATCGAGTTAACATGATAACTATCGTGTTAACGTTGCTATCATTTCATGAAAAATAGGAATTAACTTTGTTAACTGTATAAGTTATATAAAATTATCATGTTAACATTGTTATCATATCAAAACTTATCATACTAACGTTGTGAGCACGATAACTATCGTGTTAATCTTGATATTATTTTTCACCCCATCACTACCACCACCACTTATACCCACCACCACCATCACCACCGACACTGTCACCACCATCGCCATCACCGACACCACCACCACTACCGGCCTGCCATCACCAACACCATAGCCATCATCACCACCACTACCACCACCACCACCACCACCATCGCCATCACCACCGCCACCACCACTGGCGCCACCACCATTGGTGACTTCATCACCATCACCACTGACAATGCTATCAGACCATCACCAACACCATCACCAAACACTATCTCCATCGGCGTGTGAAAAAAATGAGTAGAAGAAAATAATTGTGTGAAAAAGGCAAGGACTCATTCGTTTTTTTATCTGCAACAGTATGGTCAAAAAATTGTCGGAAGTGATCGGTTAATTTCAGTGTTAATTGAATTCATTTACTACAATTACTCTTTAGTTATTGGTTTAATTTTTTTTAAAATTAAAATTTAATTACATAAATAAATAAAAACGAAATAATACTATTATATTGCTTAGATACATATTTTGAGTTCTTAAGTGATGAAGAAGCTCTCACAATACAAATTAGGGGTACTAGTCAGAACGACATATATAATACAAAATTTAAATACTCAAAATTTTAATAGCAAATTTAGAAAATAAAATTTTTGTCAAATAGATTTAAAATCACATTTTTGATTTAAAACTTTTGTCGAAAAAATTTACGGATTTTAAGAATTTGGCAAAAAAATTATGGCACTCTATTTTGATAGAAAGTTTTTGATATCACATTTGGAATAGATAATTTACAAAATTACAAATTTATGCGAAAAATTCTCAAAATCAAATTATTGATGATTTTTTTTAATAATCACATTTATAAAGTAATTTTTTGGCAGACAATTTATGTATTCATTTATTTGATGGAAAATTTATAGATTAGTTTTTAACAAAAAATAACAAAAAAATCTGAAATCACATTTCGTCTTCAACCTAAAATTTTTAATATATAATTTATGGATTTAAGTATTTGGTAAGAAATTTGTGCCAACCAATTTTTACAAAAAATTCTTAAAATTATATTTTGAGTAGATTCACAATTTTTGGGTGTAAAATTTGCGAAATTAGATTTCTGACAAAAAGAAGTTTTAAAATTTCATTTTTGGCAGAAAATTTAGGACTCTAAGTTTTTGGTATCATATTTTTCAATGTAAATTTTTGGCGGAACTTATTAGAGATTCACTTTTTTGGCGAAAAATTAACAGAACTATAATATTTTTTGAATCATCTTTTTAACATAAATGTTTTAGTGGATATTTTACAAATTCATGTTTTTGGCAGAAAATTTCTGAAATTGGGATTTCACGAAAATGTTTTAAAATCATATATTTAGTAAGTTTTTCGACAAAAATATTATGGTTTCACATATTTGATGGAAAATTTATGAGATCAAAATTTTGAATGGTAGTTTTTGGAATCATATTTTTAATATAAGTTTTTAAGTCATTTTTTTCATGGATTCACTTTTTGGCGAAAAATTCAAAAAACAAAATTTTGAGAAAATATTTTTGGAATCATACTTTTCACGTATTTGTTTTTTTGGGAAAAATTACTTATTCTCATTTTTTTAGAAAATTTGTGGAATCAAATTTTTGACGGAAACTTTTTGGAATCTTTTTTTGAATTAATTTTTTTGGCTGCATAATTGTGTGAAATTTGCAGAATTTGATTTTTGGTCGAAAAATTGATGTACTTTTATTATCACTTTATCTTGTTTGATTACAAACAAAGAATAAAAGTTTATATTATATTGAATGTATTCTAATTATATATTAAAAATTAGAAACCAGAAATAAGATGAAATGTGACAGAATGAGAAAAAAAATAGTATGATGAAAAAATTGAATAAAAAATAAGACAGAATGAAGAAAAAAAAGAATCATTTTTATATTATGTTTTTTCATTTAAATATTTTGAATTTTATGTATATTTTGTCTTTTTATATACAATTTTTGAAATCTATTAAAATATTTTTCACAAACTATTTAAAAAATATATATATTAATAACCGGCCAATCACATATTATTATTTATTATTATTATTATTTAATTTTTATCAAATTTTTTATCTTACATATATATGCGGAGCAATAACTTAATTTACCTTATAGTAAGAGTCATTAATACCATTGCTCTTGGGTGAATTCAATTAAAATTAAGGAGTTGAACCATTTCTTGTTCTAAAACTCGAACAAGAAACGAGTGGCAAATTTCACAAACAATTTCTTCCATTCAACATCCAGATTCTGGCTAATCGATTCGCGAAAGTAAAAAAAAACAGGATTTATTCCATGACTTAGACAATAAGTTTTATGTGTGTTGTTGGGTTTGAAACTTGGGTAAAGAATAACTTGAGAAAACTCTCAACATTTTATGACACGCCATTACCCATTGCCATGTATTGATGGAAAGAACTTGATTCTTTGTTTCTTTTAAAAAGATAAGAATAACAGTTTAAAAAAAAAATATTAATATTAGTTTGATCAAAGTCCATTTTGCAAATAAGGCATAACAGTTACTATATATGATGCCTTCCGGTTCCAGTTTTATATCTCAAACAAACAAACCTGAAACCTCTCTTTCATTCCATTACACCGATCCACAAATGGATACACAATCATATAACCTACCCATCCACGAGCATCCCCTTTTCTCTCTGGATAAGTTTGCCCAGACATTTGAATGTCATGGCTGCCAACTTCGAAAAACCATAAACGACGCCTACGTTTGCAATGAAGCTGGTTGTGGTGTCTGGTTCCATAGCAAATGCGTCACCGCCTTGTTAGCTGACTCAGCAGCATATTCTTTACCCATCCACGAGCATCCCCTTTATTCTGTAGCTAAGTTTGTCGAGGGTCATGAATGTCGTGGCTGCCATGTACGAGAAACCTTGTATGGCGGCTACATGTGCCGTGCATATGGTTGTGTTGCCTTCTTCCATAAGGTATGCGCCGAAGGAGCTCGGTCGGAGATTAACCACCCTTCCCACCCCCAACATCCTCTGCTGCTCACCAACGACTTGGGAGATGGTCCATGTGCTTGGTGTGGAACAAAGCTGCTGGGCCCATGTTATAGTTGCTCCACATGTGAATTCAAGGTGGATTTGGCTTGTGTAAAGAAACCACCACCGTCTGCTATTGAACATCCTGTGTGGCATGATCATCCAATTATCTTATTGAAGAAAAAAGAAGGCGACAAGGAGAAGAAGGAGGAGAAGTCTCCTTGTGAAGTGTGCAAGGAGTCTATCTGTGGACCATCCTTTTCATGTCTTGAGTGCAACGCGTTCTTCCACGTGGAATGCGTCGATCTCTTAAAAGAGTTAAACCATCCTAATCACCCTAACCATCCACTCAAGTTAATCACATTTGATACACTTACGGATGGTGCCGAGAAGACCTGTCTATTCTGTGGCGAAGAAACAAAAAGCGCACTTTATCATTGTTCCGTTTGCAACTTCACCACATGCATTGCTTGCACCAGAAACCCACCTCCTCTTGTAATTAATCACACCAAGACCCACAAACATCAACTTACTCTCTTTCCGAGGAAAATGCCAATGACTTGTGATGTTTGTGGGGAAGAAGGCAAAGGGGCGCCTTATTATGTATGTCTTCGTTGTGCTTTTGTTATCCACGGATGGTGTATCGAGTTTCCCCTTTTCATAAACATCAATCGTCATGATCATTGCATTTCCTTCACTCATAATCTTGGCGTTGGGTATTCCAAATGTGGAGTATGTCGCAAAAGCTTAAGTCAGTACCATGGGGCTTATACGTGCTCTATTTGTCCAAGCTATGCAGTTCACCCTCGCTGTGCGCAAAGGGATGACGTATGGGATCAGTTAGAATTTATCAAGTTTCCGGATGATATCCAAGTTATTGCACCACCATTCAAGGTGGTGGGTGATGGCTTGATAATTCATCAAAGTCATAGCCAACATAATTTAAGACTTCAGAAAGATGATACTATTCATGACAAGTGGTTACGATGTGAAGCATGTATCCATCCGGTTAGCTTTGACCCCATCTACTATTGTGAGGAATGTGGCTTCGTTCTTCACGAGAAGTGTGCTAATCTTCCTACGATTAAAAAACTTTTCTTTCAGACCGATCCATTCACGTTGGATTTTGATAGCCGCAACATTATAGACTGCGCCATGTGTGGGACGTTATCTACTGGTTTCACGTACCTTGGAAAATATGTTCAGGGAATAGATATACATTGTGGTACCCTTCCTGAGCCGCTCGTCCATGATGGCCATGTACATCCACTATATTTAAACGATGATGATGGTCGCTACTGCGATGGATGCCATTCCACTCCAGTTGGTTATGTGTTCCGTTGTGATGATTGTAGCTTTCACCTGTGTTATTATTGTGCTTCTTTGCCAAAAAAGATTTGGCATACCAACGATGAGCACCCTCTCACTTTACACTGCGGCGAAGAGGCGAGATACAACAATTGGTGCGACAACTGTGAAAGGGAAATAGACCCATGTAAGTGGTTTTATACGTGCTATGATTGTGAAGTCAGTTTGCATGCACGGTGTGTACTTGGAGATTTCTCACGTCTCATGGTAAAACAGATCCTTGACTACGAGGGTATATATATTGAGGTGGTTCATAACAATCACAGCACTCGGCCATTATGCAGTCAGTGTCACTCTCGATGCATGTCCTCCATCATCCTAAAGCAGTGTAATGAAGACAATGGATACATCTGTTCCCGTTCATGTTTATTGAGGTTATAAATTGTTAAAAAAACATTTGTTTCATGATATGGGTTGTATTTTGTTTCATTCGTTTTACTATATGTAATTTGACGATCTTATTTCCGATGACCGAAACGTAATAGAGAGTGGTTTCTAATATTTTTACATCGATATACACACACAACTCTATGACTATGAGCTGATCGGATCAAAACCAAACTCTAAATCTGGTTTTGAACTTGTTTACTTTCTAAGCAAACTAATTAAGTTTCACCGTCATGCTGCTTAATCGTATCAGATAAATAAATCTCAAAACTCATATTTGTTTTAAAACTTCTTTGGAAATAATATGAAGTTCCTTACTTACCTCAATACCAATCTAACGTTCGTCCCTCTCCGGTAATCTTATTCGTATTCTTTTCTAGGAGAGGAAGTTATCGCCCGTTCAGGTGAAAGTACTATCATCAGATCTAAATACAATCCAGTAAAAATCCAGAGCAACGATTAAATTATTTTACTACCTAGAAACTAGAACATGAATAATGACGAGTAAGACAATAATACAAAAAATAACTTACACAAAAAAAAAGAACAGAAAATATAAAAGAAACATAAATTATTGACCTTAAACATGTTAAAATCGCATGTTTTATGACAAGCTATTGCCCTTTGTCGTGAAAGAAAGTACTTGATTCTTTAGTTCTTTGGAAAGAAGAATTTACGTAATTTGTTTTTTCTCCCAACAATATAGGTTGATGCCTTGATGGTCTATTTTGATTATTATTGGTTTACGAAGGCATATATAACGATGTCTTGAGGTTCCACTTTTATATCTCATCAAACACACACCACTTTGATTCACATTCATGGATCCAAACATGAATACAAGAACAGCAACAAAAATACATAAGCCACAAATTCACGAGCATCCTCTTTTCCCTTCAGCACGGTTTGTTATTGCCAGATGCGGTGGCTGCCGTGTACAAGAAGCCATCTACGGCGGCTACTTTTTGCAATGAAATTGGTTGTGGTGGCAGGTGGTTCCACATGTGATTTGTGTGGAAAAGAGCTGCCGATCCCATGTTATAGTTGCTCCACATGTGAATTTAAGGTGGATTTGACTTGTGGAATGAAACCATTTCCTGCAATCGAACATTCCGTATATCATGACCACCCGCTTGTCTTCTTAAAGCAACCAATACCATACGTGGAGGTGGTGAAATATTGTGAGGTATACGAGTTTAATATCGGGGAACCATCCTATTCATGTCATGAATGCAATGTGTACTTCCACGTAAGTTGCATCCATCGTTTGAAAGAGGTGAATCATCCTTGTCACTCTACTCATACTCTCAAACTCATTGCATCTGAAGCACTTACGGACGATGCCGAGAAGATTTGTCTTTCGTGTGGACAAGAACCACAACCAGAAAAGGTGCTTTATCATTGTTCCATTTGCAACTTCAGCATGTGCCTTGCTTGTACAAGACACACAAACATCCACTCACACGCTTTTTTGGGAGAATCTCATATACTTGTTATGTTTGTGGGGGTGGAAAGCAACAGTAGGGCTTATATATGTCCTGAGTGTGATTTTGTTATCCACGGAAGGGATAGTGTAGAGTTGGAAGGGATTCCGGATGATACCGAAGATATTGCTCCATACAAGGTGGTTGGTGATGACTTGATAAGTCATTTCACTCATGACAAACATCCTTTAGAGCTCTACAAGAAGAATATCCTTTATGATGAGAGAATACTATGTGAAGCATGTATCGATCCGCTTGGGTTTGACTCCATCTACGGTTGTATTATCTGATGGCTTCAAGTACACATCACAAGGAAGAAATGATGTAGATGTACATTGTGGTTCTCTTTCGGAGCCGTTCGTCCATGATGGCCATTTACATCCCTTATATTTTGAACGGAAGCGACAAGACGTATGTTGTGATGGATGCAATCACTATGTGTCTAGTGGTTATGTACTCGGATGTGATGGTTGTAACTTTAATTTGTGTTTTTACTGTGCTAGTCTGCCCTTACAGATTCGGCATAGGAACGATGAACACCCTCTCACTTTACGTGGCGAGAAAGCGAGCGACAACAATTGGTGCGACAATTGTGAAAAGGAGATAGACACATGGTTCTATTATACATGCCATGATTGTGAACTCAGTTTGCATGCACGGTGTGTAATAGGAGATTTCTCACGTCTCAAAGTAGAACGGGTCGTTCACTATGTCTATGGCTATGTATAGAACATTTGAGGTGGTTCGTAACAATCACAGCACTCGGCCGTTATGCAGCGTCTGTCTTTCTCGTTGCATGGTCGCCGTTATCCTAAAGTATTGTGATCAAGACAAGGGATACACCTGTTCGTTTCATTGTTTCACAACTTCTTTTCGCCAAAGAATCTTTCTAAGAGATAATATTCCGTTTTCTGCGCTCTGATTTAGAGAGAAGAGGAGATCTGCAGCAGGTTCCAACCCCGTTTATCAAAGTGTGTTTCATGGCTGTGTTGTGTGTATTATTATATGAGAGAGAAGAGGAGTTCTGTGACTCGCATGCAGCTCCGTTTATCGTACCTGTTTCATGGTTGTATGTACTATTTAATTGCCTACGTTACCTTATATATATCTAATTTGATTAACTTATTGCCAAGTATCGACCGAAATGTAATTAGGGAATCGTTTCTTTCTCTGTTTATTGTCAAACATCAGTTCGTAATCTCTGAATCAAATTTAAAATATCTATTACGAACTTGTTGTGTTTGTTTACTTAGTAGTTGAGAATTCTGTGTGTACAATATGCAACAACTCTCTGGTGCTCACTGCTTGACGTGGCATCGCACGACTTGTTATGAGTTTGTGGTGTTTACAAAAGCTGCTAATCTTTATATAACATTTGAGAGAAACTGACGACAGAAATTGCTGGTTAAGATATATTTAAGATGCAATTGATTTGCCTGTTCATAGAACCACCTCTGGTATTAATGGCGTTGATGGCTATGTAGTAGCAACTGGCGAAGCTATAAAAATCTCTGTTTGTGATTGTTTAAAGCGATTTTGAAATAATCTTGAGTCTTGCCTAATACAGTTTACTCTACTATTCTGAATTTTTTTCAAGTTAAGCGAGAAAGCCATGTGTTTGGCTTTCAAGCACTTTCTTGTGGTTATGTAAGGTGAAAAAAAATGGTTTATGACGTTTGTTCCTTGTTTTGAATACTTCTTTCAACTTTTATCTATGATTCATGTTTTTTCGGTGGCTTATTGTGGGTTTATAAGTTGAATAACTAGCGTGAGATGTGAGAACGCAGTAAATTTGATCATCGGAAGTCTTTTAAGTAATTGCAATACCTATCGATGATCCAAAAGACCTTACTGAAACTAAAATGAGTAGCCTTCCTTCTGATATGTTCAAGAGTAATCATAGGTCCCAAGTACAATCATGAGTCTATATATAAGAAGATCTTCAAAAACGAAGTTTCTTTATGAAGAGCAAGTTGTCGGAATATTTTATTGTGTAGTGCAAATCGAACCTTCTTTGTGCGCAATGTAAATAGCTTAGCACCACTTTATGGGCAATGTAAGAAGCTTCTTTGTATGTTACAATTTGTAGTATGGCCTCTGCAAGATTACTACGGAGTATGTATCATCTATGTGAAATTTGTCTTGATTTAACATCATGTTTAGATTTCTTGTGAACCTGTACGATTTTTTTTGTTCGACAATTAGTTGACAAATATCATTCTAGGTTCCAAAACGTCATATAGGGATCGAATAATTTCTTTTAGTTAATAGTTTTCTCTCCATCAAAACAATTTTATTTATTCTAGCTAAAAAAGTTAAGAAAAATAATAATTTTTTTCTTCTGAATATGCTAAGAAACAATAATAATAAAAATAAAAAATCATTGCTTTCGAACACCATTCCAGTCATAACAAATATCAAAAGTATCATTTATCTCGTTGAATCTGCATGGTCCATCTTTGCTTATATCCCAAAAACAGTAGATGCATGGAATCTCTTTAGTACGAATACTGTAAGCACCATCTCTGATATCATCGTATATATCAAACCGTTTTGATTGTCTTTGAGGCCATGTAAAATGACAAGAAAACACTGTTGATCCCCATATGTTTGGTCTAAAATAAAACGACCAAGACTTATTCGGAGCAAGAATTTTAAGGCCAAGATCATCGTCAGTGGAGTTACAATAGAGGTTTAGTGTCGAACCGTCGCCAAGGCGGTTTGTGATCTTCACTTGTGATTTAAGAAAAAACTATTTACGATCAAAATCTGGAGCGCTAATTTTTATTCGTGCGAAAGCTATTTGGAAGCGCAAAAATATCACCACTAAGTAGATTTTTTGATTTAAAACCATAGCCATTGTTAAACCAAAATATCACTTATTATAATAAATAATAGAAAGTAGATATTGCTAAAGTAAATAAAAACTTTTAGTAGTAATCAATTAAAAAGCTTAAAACTTTTAAATCTTATTTTTCTGCTCTCTAAAGATTATGAATTGGTCTTCATACTATCATAAATCCTCTATTTATACAGGTTCAAGGTCGCTCAAACAAAACTTATTTTCCTTTTTTCATTCTAAATAATTTCAGGAGATTTTCCATATTGCTGGATAAAGCGGTCTTTTTTTCTTCCTTTTTTTTAACCCTTTTCCTTTGGCGCTTTTTTTAACCCTTTTCCTTTGGCGGCTAATCTTTTATCTTTCGTCTTTTGGCTAATTTTCCTTTTTCTCGTCGTCCCTTGACTCTCTTGTTAATTCTCTCTCCTCCGCCGTCCAAAAAGGAAAAACTTCGAGATGACGACTGCGAGTGGATTAGATATGTCTCTCGACGACATGATCGCCAAGAACCGCAAGTCCCGTGGATCTGGCCCCTCCCGTGGAGCTGGATCCGGATCCGGACCGGGTCCAACTCGCCGCAACAACCCTAATCGGAAATCCAACCGATCTGCTCCATATCAATCCGCCAAGGTCCAAATCCGATCTACATCTGCTCTCTCTTCTTCATCTTCTACTTCTTCTCTCTAGTTTCGCCGCCTTTTTCTTCTCAGATCTGCCGATTCATAATGGAAATAGACTCTTCGTTGACGTTTTCTTTATATAAAAAAAAGCAATCGAATTTTGGTGTTGATGAATCTCTCAAAAGAGGAAAAAAACAAAAACAAACAACGGATTCATTGTGGTTGTATAGGCGCCGGAGTCCACCTGGGGACACGACATGTACTCCGATAGGTCAGAAGATTTCCCTTCCCGATCCAGCCGTTCTTCCGCCGGAATCGAAACTGGGACGAAGCTCTACATATCCAATTTGGATTACGGGGTCATGAACGAAGACATCAAGGTGACAAATTGTTCTTCTTTCCTCAGCTCTTTCGATTCTCTGCCTAATTAGCAATTACATGTGGAATCTAGTATCGTTATTGCCTTGAATCGAAACTGAAACTTTTATGCTCTCATGCTGCTTCATGTACCGTTTCCTGGATAATTTCTTCCGATTGTTCTATAGCTATTGTTACTTTCTGATTTCTGCTGAATTTTGGAACGTGTTTCAAATGATATGAATCGTTCGTTTGTATGCAGGAACTGTTTGCTGAAGTCGGGGAACTTAAACGCTACACAGTCCATTTTGACAGGAGTGGAAGATCAAAGGTACCTGAGATTACATCTTTGTTGTTCTCCTTTGCACATCTTTGACTGTCCTCTCTTTGAGCCCTGAAGACTAAATCTTGCAAACTGCTTATACCATTAGGGAACTGCTGAAGTAGTGTTCTCTCGGCGTGGCGATGCACTCGCAGCTGTGAAGAAGTACAACGACGTTCAGCTGGATGGAAAACCCATGAAGATAGAGATTGTGGGCACCAATCTTCAAACCGCCCCGTCTGCTAGACCCGGAAATGCAAACTCCAATGGTGGTTCTAGACGGTAAAGATTATACACTAGTCATTATGTGAGCTATATGTAAAAGCTTCCTCGATCTTGTGAGCTATATTGAAAGTGTGTGTCTTGCTGTTGGGTTAACAGAGGTGGAGGTCGAGGTGGTCAACAACGTGGTGGTGGTGGTGGTGGAGGTAGAGGTGGAGGTGGAGGTAGAGGTCGAGGTGGTGGTCGTGGTGGGCGTTCTGGTAAGGGACCTGCAGAGAAGATATCTGCTGAAGATCTTGATGCAGATCTTGATAAGTATCACGCGGGAGATATGGAGACAAACTGAGTAATGTGTCTGCTCTTCTCAAAGCGCAAGGGGTTTAAAGAGGAAGAGATGCTACAAAACTTTTGCCAGAGGCTTTACGGCTTAAGCCTTTATGGCAGCGTGTTGTTTATTTGTTTCATTAGAATGACTCTTTAGATCTGCAAATCTGTGTTTAGACTTTGAAATTGTTGTCTGCCTTAATACCCTCTTGAGGAAGAAAAACGGCAGAGAATGGGAAACCAGTTTCATCTTCAGAGCACATGAAGGTGAAAGGGCTTTCACAATCTAGGTTTGATTATACTCAGACTGTGATGATTTAGTTGTATTTTGTCTCTTATCTTACTAAAGTCATGCCTTAAAGTATTATTAACGCAGAGTTTTAAACGATTAGAATAGACTTTGTTATCTTCAATCCATTGAGACAGAATTGTTGAGTTGATATCAAGTAACTTTGTGAATGGTGAAATTTATACCAAGTTCTAACACATCCAATACAACTAAAACCAGAAGGAAGAATTGTTGGGGCTTTGGTCAGAATACATCATCATCCTCTATTGCAAAATAACAATTTCACGATGACAACAAAACATGTCAAAAGCTATTCCATGGGAACTTTCTCAAAACGGATTTTATGTTCTCCATAACAAGCAATACAGGTGAAGGTAAAGTTCTCTGGTTTGCCTCTGTGACCAAAAACCACATTATGTACACAAGGATTGGATTCCTGCTGCAGGCTTTTTCATCATACGTAAACGCTATTCAGCTCTGCCTTGGCTTTTCTCGCCGTGAAAAGATGAGCCTTACGATAGAATAGAGAACCGCTTTAATGCAAGAAACCACAAAGTTCCAGCACGAGGATGGCCAGTACCATGGATATAGCAGCCTGAAAAATAGACTAATGAGATGCCTCGGGTAACGCCCGACCTGCAAGACAAGAGTATCACAATGTTAGAAGCCCATTCATACATATTTCTGATCTATGTGCATTTGTTAGGACACCGATTAAGCAATTCTGAGACTGTTTTGCTTAGCTTTGGGTGCTCTTTATGAGGTTGTCTAAATTCTTGGAAGATATGTCTATGAACTAGCAATCTTACGCTGGATCTTACAATCAAAACAATGGGTTTAAAATAGTAATTTTCGTGCAAGGAAATACTCACCGGAAAGAGGGAATCCAAAGCATCCCAGGCTGCATGACGGACAGCTCTTGTTGGGTACATCGGACCTCCAGGAGAGGTAAAACTGTACAAACACGCCTTTAACCTCGTGCTAGTGGTCATTCTCAGTTCCATACCTGCAGATGTTGGATTTACATTGCTTTAAGTTTGACTCCGTGTTAGAGACAACATCTAACTAGAAGAGAGAAAAGTACCTTGAAGAATCTTCATCTGAGAAAGATAGTGTAGCAGCACTGGTTCCACTTTCAGTTTTTGCAGCTGCACCACAATAACATATTAGATGAGTGATGTGCATGGTTCGTTCTAGAGAGAAAATTTTGTGTATAGTCACAAAGCCTTTGCTTCATACCTGATCGGTAAGTTCGATAACAAGGAAATCTCCGGGTCCTCCAACCAAGAAAGCATTTGGAAACTCCGGGAAATTCCTCAAGAAGCTGTCGAGTTTATCAACTGGAAGGAAAAAAACTGTTAGAATACAAGAAGAAACACCTTGGTTCCAATAATAACTTTTCAGAAAACGTGTACTACCTGAATTGTAAAAGAAAATGAACCTTGAGAGCAAGAGATACAGTTCCCTCTGAGCCTGAATTTAGATATGGGAGAGTCAATCTCCAGACTGAAATCAGTTGAATCGTCATGAAAATGGAATGGAACCACTCACCTGAATGGGAATCTTTTTCAGTCGAATTGGCTCCAAAGCAACTTCCTCAAGTAGATACTAAGAAAACACAGAGACTATTGTGAGTTGCTGTAGCAAATTGGTATGACGACTTCAGCCTGTGATAGTGACAACCATATTGACAAGTACAAAGAACTATCTTTTGCCTAGACGATCTATCAAAGGCATCAAACAAGGTAATATCATAGGGAAAAAAATGTGAACGATCTCTAGCATGTGTTATTTACAGTTCCACCTCGAAGACCAGTACTCGAATTTTGTTGACAACAGTCGAACTTTATATATCATAGTCATTTGATTAATAAGTCAAAGTTCCATATAAATGTATATAAATCTAAGGAAAAGAAGGTACCCGAAAGAGAGTTTGAAACCGTCTTGTATTTGTCTGGATGTCTATCCTGTAATTAAGATGGGTAGAGATTATCACATGTTAAAATCAGATTGCTTGGCGAGCCAATCCAATGTAAGAAGAGACCTGGAAGAACTATCATACACACTTCTTAACAAACGAAAAATCCCAAGTAACAATATGCAAATGCAACTACTACAGATCCAAGTACATGATGGAGCCTAGTGAGGTATACACACTGAACCAAGCTATTCAAATCAAGTTGAAGAGTTTACCAGAATACATTAGTTGCTCCCTGCACCAGCGCAGAAGAATACCGCAGGAGTATTTCTTGATTGTCAAGCTGAACCTCAAACAGCTGAGAAGAATTACAGAAACATGTTAACAAGGTAGGACAAAATAACACCGAAACGAGATTGTAAAGGTGACAATACCCATTTATGGAAGAGAAGAGAGAATATGTGTGAAGCGAACGATTGGCTCCACAGCTGCACCATCAAATCAAGTATATCCTTGCCTCTCTCAGACACGTTCACATAATAATCAGCAAGGACGTCAAAAAAACATAATGGACCATCACCATCTACTTCACCAGAAATCACATCCTCTTCTTTGCTAAGGATCACATCTGCTTAGAACCCCACCTCGAAAAGTTAATTCCAATAGTAAATTCACAGCGAGTAACAGTGAAAGCATACTGATTTATGATACAATTCACCAAACTGTGGTTATCAAAAAGTGTTACCTTTGGCCCGTTCGTCGACTTCGAGAGCTATATCAGCAAATAAGTCCTGCAACAAGTTGCGTGTTTGTGCAGGAGAAACAACAGCCTGGGACCAAAAAATCAACACTCTCAATATCAAATTTACAATCTCAAAACCAAATCCATAAATCAAGGCGTGAGAAAGTGAAAAAACAGGAATATAGCAATCAAAGGGAAGAGAAAAATTGAATTGCATGAAGATCGTGGATATCAATTATCGGATTGCATGAACTTTATCTGGAATCGTAAACCGCAGATTCACATTGAAACACTAACCCAATTACAGAAACCCGGTTTCTTAATCGCAATCATCTATCAATGTTTTTTCTGTGAGATTCTCTAATGCATGTTTCGTATGCGAAGATCATCAGCGATTTCGAAGAATATAAACCAAAAAAAAACAGATCACTACAATTCGAAAAAACCGCCTCGATTAATCGGTAGACGCGAACGAATATATAGGAAAGAATAAAGCTAACCCGTGTAAGCTTCTTCTTAATCTCTTGTGTAAGAGCTTCCAGATAAGCAGACCTCCGTGAAGAAGACGGCGATGAAACTTTCTCCATTATTGCAATAAGAAATGACCGCTCGATCAATCCGATAGGAGCAATCGAGACTTCGAGATCGATAATGATTGCGTCTTCGTAAAGACTAATTTATTCACGAAATCAATCAATCTATGGGGTCTGAATTTAATAAATCGTAATGAGGCGTGAAGCAGAATACAAAAAATAAGGAAAAAAACCAGTTGCTTTTTCTTTCTTCTTCTTCTACTGTGAAGTCGATAGCGACAGGAGAGGAGAGAAGAAAAGAGGATGTTGTTTTATCAATAAAGGATTCAAAACGCTGTCGTTAAATTCCGGTTCCGAGAGATGACGTGTCGCCTCGATAAAGACACGTGTAACCTCATCACCCCCCTGTTTTTTTTTTAGTTAGTGATAAACATTGTTAAATGTATTTTTCTAAAATAAAGTTAGAAAAATGTAAATTCGGAGTGAGATCGATTTAATGTCGTTATCTAGCTTTTTCAAAATCTGTTATGCAATACGACAATCGATCCATATCCCCTTTTTCAAAATCTGTATCCAGTTTAAGAGATTATAATTTTTTAATTCATCAGAGATGCACTCGTCTTAAAAAAGATGTATATAAATCCCAAAAAAAAAGTTGACGCGCCAATGATTAAATTTTAAAAGCTAGGCGCGTGAATTTTGACATGTCGACAGTTTGTCATCCTGATCGGACCGGTACATTGTTCTTTATGGGCCCATAGATACTTTATTGGGCTCATTTTAATAGTGTGGATAACTAGTGGATTTCTTCAGTTTCGACTCAGGGATTTCGTACGCCGCTGTGGATAATATGCGCTTTCGAATGATTTCGGATTTCTCTAAACGCAGTCGTTTCAGAAATCGTCGACACGCCGCCGAGTAAAAGTGAGTTTGGTGTTTTTGACTTCTGCTAGAAGTGGTAGTAAAAGAAACGGCGAAGCTCAGGTTAAAAACCCCCGTTGCTTAAACCCTAATCGGAAAATCTCTCCGCAGTATCTCCCCGACTCTCTCATGGGGTTCTTCGACCTGAGCATACCGTACAGCCATAGGCCATCATCTGGCGGGAAGGAAGTCTTCGCCGGAGAAAAATCGCGCGTAAAGCTCGCGACGAAAGCCATGGAACTGGGCTATGTTGGCATCGCACACAACCGTTCGATCGAAGGCGTGATGTCGAACAAGGACTGTTGTACGATCCCTCTCCTCACACTTGGATCTCTCGTCAAGGCCGCTCCGCGATTAGCTTCTTCCGTCGGATTCCATCGCGACTTACTCGGCGTCCCTCGAGCTACACCGTTTCGACAGTACACTCGCCTCACCGTCAAATCGGAGAGTTGTCAGAGCTTAAACTCCGGGAATCCGGTTTTAAAGAGCTACGACATTGTTGCAGTTATGCCGATGAATCAGGACGCCTTCAAGGATGCCTGTGAGAAAGCCCAGGTTTGAATTTGTAGCTCAATTTGAGATTTTTCTTTACTTAGACTGCGGAAAATTTTCTTGAGAGATGATTCTTATTTTGTTTCTTTTCCTCAAAACTCGTTTTAGGTTGATATTATTTCGATTGATTTCGACAAGATGCCATTCCGATTGAATCATTCCATGGTCAAATCTGCTATTAAGGTTTCTGATTCTCTCAATTCTAAGATGAGACATTGCTTCCTGTTAGAAAAAATATCTCATTGTCTTTTTCTCTTTGCTTCGATAGCGAGGGATTTACTTTGAGATCAAGTACTCTGATCTCTTAAAAGATGCACTGAAGAGGAGACAAGTTATATCGAATGCTAAGGTGAGAAACTCTGTTGCAAAGTATCACATTGTATATTTGTAATGTGAGAGGGATGATCTTTGTGTTGCTCTTTCTGTTGATATGCTTGTGATATGGCATTACACTAGTTACTGGTGGATTGGACTAAGGGGAAGAATGTGATTATATCGAGTGGTGCTTCTTCAGTCGCAGAAGTTAAAGGTGCTTCTTCAGTCGCAGAGCTTAGAGGTCCCAACGATGTTGTAAATCTCATGTCCTTGCTTGGACTCTCTACGGATAGAGCCAGAGCTGCCATTTCAAAAAACTGTGGGTAGGTGTTCCGATTCTTCTAGCAATGCAGTTTGAGTTTGAAGTTTACGTCGTTGAGGATGGAAATTTTTGAATATTTGCTTTCAGGAATATGATAGCCAAGGTTTTAAAGAAGAAGCGGTTTCACAAAGAAGCTGTCAAGGTTGAGTCACTGTCGTCTAGTGAAGCCTTTAGCCTCGAAAAGCCTCTGTCTGGAGATTGCATGAAATGGGACCCCCTGTCAAGTGATGAAGGTGACATGCTTTTGGATGATATCGCAAAGGCTTTTGATGCCACGCGTGCTGTGGCGCAGAAACCCTCAAAGGCGATTGATTTCACCTCTGTTCTTAAGGGCTTGCCATCACATGGTTTCCGGATTAAGGATGTTGTAGGAGCTGAACCTTTGATTCAGCCACCTGCGGCTAAGACGATTGACGCGTCAGTGCAGAGTAATAATCAAGTTTCTGAAGTATGTATGGCTGATTCAGCTTCATCTGATGACAATCTTCGGGGAAATGAAACCATTAGCCAAATTAACATGGTGATATCTGACAACAAAGTGGAACCTAGAACAATGGCCCCCCTGAGGAAATGCAGCACCAGTCGAGGACAGGGGTTTCTGGTGCAAGATCAAGCAGCAGCTGCATCCTTAACGCTGAGAAGATGTACAAACTCAGATGTAGCTTCTGATGTGAGCATGAAGACTGATGCAGCTTCTGATGTGAGCGTGAAGACTGATGCAGCTTCTGATGTGAACCTGAAGACTGATGCAGCTTCTGATGTGAACATGAAGACTGATGCAGCTTCTGATGTGAACATGAAGACTGAATTGGATTCAGAAGATAAATCAATGCCACCATCAAAACGCGGTCACTGGATCCCACAAAGTCCTGTTGAAAACTTAAACATGGAAACTATTGTTGTGGATGATAAAGTCTCCCGAGACAGCAACGAAGGAGCTATTTCTGGTCATGCGAATACTGAGCACTCTGCATCCATTGATGGTGATGATGATGAGATGAAAATCAATGATGGTTCATCGGAAGCAAATCACGATGAGTACATGGAAGTGGAGGTGGAAGACCAAAAGCATGAAACAGGTGACAGTAATATTAATCTTCCTAACTTATCCTCTGAGACTAGCGATTTGCTAAGAGAATCAGGTAACTCTCTCAGTCCTGAGGCGGTTGGACAAGACCAGGAACAAGTATCAAGGTTAGAGTCCATTGAGGCAGAGCTTGGGGAAGAGCCACCGGTTCCATACCACAGCATCTCTGAGACAACGATGGAAGACAAGAAGGAAAGCGTGGTAGAAACCGAAACTAATGTCCAGTCCTCTGAAAGAAACAATGCCACAAACTCAGGTATGAGATCTAAACTTCATCATTTGGAAACCTTAACCTAACACACGTATAAATGTTGGACTAAGATTCATTCTTGTGTTATCTCAATCCATTGGTGAAAATTGCAGGTAAGGGGATACCTAAGAGGAGTAGAGTTCGATTAGCGCAGCTAGGGCCTTACAAGCCTTTTCTACTTCATTCACGTTTCAAACGAATCAGTAAAAGAGGAAAACATAGAAGAAGAGCTTGATTATTCTTAAACGCTAGATAAGTTTTGCTCGTTAATTTATACCCACGCGAACTTTGTGGATTTATTATTCTTGAACAGTATAAGTGGGGGAAAAGAAAAAATCTAGTTCATTTTTAAAAGTTTAGGGTTGGTTTCGTTGTGTACTCGTGTTCAACAAAAAGGTTTTAATAAAATAATTAAAAGAAAGAAGAAGAAAAGTGAAAACATGTGGAAGAGTGGATAGTCGGTAAATCTACCGCCGGCCGACAAAAGTCGCCGGAGGGCCTACATCTCTCTCCATAGCCTTTGCTAAAGAAGAAAGACTGCTCTCTCTTTCTCTTTTCAAAACTACTGAGAAGCATTATTAGTTTAGAAGAAATATTTTCACCTGACATTTATGAGAGAAACAATATCTTTCTTTTTGTATAGCTGATGGACATTTTCGAGAAACAATATCTTTCTTTTTGTATTGCTGATGATGCCTTAAATTGACATTTGTACTTCGTAGCCTAGTATAGATGGTTTTTTTCTTTGTTAATTGAAATTTGATCTCTGTTTTTGAAGAATGAAAAGTACTGTATTACCGTTTTATCTTGTATTAAAGCTCAGTTAGATATAAAAGAGGATCAATTCGATTGTGGACTATGTTAAATTCATGTTAATTTGGTTTGGCTTATCCATATTTAGTCGCTGTTCATTTAAGCAAACACCAATATTTTGATTTTCGTATTTAAGAGGATTAATGTTTGGTTTGGTTGATTACTTTAATTTGTAGTTTATCTGAGTGGAACCTTCTTTGGTTTTTTAAGAATTTCTAAGGTATGATGTATGCTTGCTTTTGGAGATTGCTAGTACTTAGTAGCACGATGAGTAATCAACGTGAGAGCAATGAAATCATCAAAGTAACATGACCATGTTCATTACATGTTTTTCAATGCTAAAAAGTTATCATCTTTGTACTTTCTGATTATTTTTTGTAAATCAAGTTGGTAAAAGAAAATTCGGACCATTAAGGAACATAATAAACTGTCCATATACTATTTACGGGCCCATGTAAGTAATAATGATAGTGTGGTATTTAAAATATAGACCATATGATACGACGGCGATAGTAATACAAACTATTTAATTGTAAATTTAGGATTTTAATCTTCTTTTTGGAAAAAAAAACTTTGAAAATATCATCTCTCTTTTTTAGCACACATAAAACATCCTTAATTGAGTGTATAAGTACTACACAATTCACATTATTTATTTATACATCAGAAATGCCGTATTCTAAGAGTTTTAAATATTAAGAACCAAATGATGTTCTAAAATTTATGCTGTTTATAGTCTTTATGTTTAATAAATATGTCGTCTTCAATTTTTTACTTATACTACGTACCAAGTAAAATAATATTTTCTATTACCATACTATCGTTTTTTAAGTATAACTCCACAAGTTTCTTATTGATACTTTGCATTGAAAATCTAAATGATATTTTGCTTATGTAAAACAAATACAAAATTCTTAACTGACTTTATGAAACGGTTGTATATTTGGATCTTTTTTTTCACCCGGTTGATGAATATCGTTTTGCCTTAACCTATCCACTAATCCAATTTATATCTCAATTAGAGAACTTAGGAGATCCTTGCCATGCCAACAAGATTGAAAAGTGTTTCTATACCACTCGTCCAAAATTTTCACGCCAGTGAAGGTCGATTATTTAGCAAAGATACAAAGTATGTTATTCTTATTTACAAAGAAAACACATAACCTAAATGAGTTTAGCTACATGGAGCAATCTTTTAAAGGAAAACAAATTAGAAAAAGCGCCATATAAACATACTGTAATATAAGAAAAGAAAAACATAGATATACAAGATATTAATTAAGAAAGTGATTAGCAGAGAAAGAGTCAAGAAAAGATGCCCATGTGTCAACATCTCCAACCACGGCTTCAATAACATCAACTTGTTCTTGTTGCGACATCTCATCATTTCTTGCAAATCTCCCTCTTATTCTTGGCCTACTGTCCGCTAATGTCTTCCTGCATTCATACTAATTTTGAAAAAAATATAATACGTATATTAAATTCGTCTCAAAATCAATGTGACAGTTAGACCATCTCTAGCAGTTTCGATGTACGACAATTATAGCTCGAGCAGAAAACATCCAACTGAGAAACAGTTTTAAGCTATGTTGTATAGAAACAGAAACGGGTATGTGGAAGCGGAACATTTCGAAACGCGGAAACGCTATTTTAAAAAAATATAGAAATTGGAAACATTTTGGAAACGTATATATATATATATTAAGTATTAAAGATCTAATTATAAGTATAATATTTAATCAACAAAACCTAATATATAATTTTTACATAATTATTAAACTATAAAAATTAAAATATGTAAAGTCAAAAATTTAGAAGATTTTCTTTATTATCAATTTTATTAGTTTCATTAACCAATCTATCTCTAATTCTAATTCATCCAGGAAATAATTTTCAAACTTAGTAATCTCAAAATTAATCTTAATTATCAAATCAAAATATTTATTATTTACTATGAATAAGTAAATTGATTATTTAATTTAATTTTTATAATTATTTATTTGTTCTATAAAAACAAGAAATTAGTTTTTATTTTCTTTCGAAAATAGAAATGTGTGTTTCTAAAATGGAAACGCGTTTCCAAAGTGTTTCCAAATTAGAATTTTTAGAAAACGTGATTTTTCGTGTTTTCGACAAATTTCTGAGAGTTTCGGTTTCCGAAACGTTTCGGAAGCAGGAAACATACTTCGGACAGAGTTTCGATGCAACCTAGGTTTCAAGCATATGAATACTCTAATCTTTAATTAGGAATGAACCTCAAACACAAATAAGTAACCCGGGAAATGTCACTGATATTTGTGGACGTTCTCATAATAAGAAATGATTAATGGAGAAATTTATGGCAACCTTGGAGCTTGATGTGTCTATCTCATAAGATTCCTTAAGACCAAATATGATGTGACATAACATTAATTCTCAGTCACATACCCATGTATATCAAAAGAATTTCTTCTTATGTTTGAAGATAAGATTAAAAAATAATAATTCAATGTTACTTTTGAAGTGATAAGAGTGCTTGATATGATACATTGAGCCTTTTTTTGGGTCAACGAACCATTTAATTTTTGTATTAAATGTGAATTCTTGTCTTAGAAAATTAGTTTTATCTAATAATTTTGATAAAAATATACATATGCTTGTGCTGAAACTATATATAGAATTCAATATTAGTCGATTAATGAAAAAAACATTATAGGAAAATATATGCTTGATTAGAATCAATATTAATCAAAGGGCTAGCATCAATAAACGTGTAGGTGCATGTCACTGTTGCATACAACTACATGTCAAGTCTTAAAAAGTTTCCATGTGACACACATATATATTGAATAATATGTGTATTTATGTGTTGAAGAACAATATGAATTAGTTCATACAACCAAACATATGGTACGTTAACTTTTCTTCGTATATGTAAATAAAATTCTTCAAATGCATTACTAAAATTATAAACACAGAACACATATTCAGTAAAAGCAAACAAAGAAACAAATGTAAAAAAAAAAAAAAAAATTACCTTAATCCTCTTGTTGAAATTCCTAAGGTTTCGTTTGCTACGATATTTCTCGATCTTCTCTTTCTTCTCCTCAGGACTATACTTATAGGCTTTGCTCATTCCTTCTATTATTGCATTGCTCTCACTCCATACCGCACTGCTCTCTCTTCTGCTACTCCTCTGCACACATACCAAAAAGGTGGTTGTGTTTGTTTTCACGTTTAATTTTATGCTGTATAATAGAGTATTTTCTACGACATATACCCTCTATTTTCAACATTTTACACTGTTCATTTGTTAAATGTAAACGCAAATAGTTTTGTTTGCATTAACACTCACCAAAAATGATTGTTTGGGTAAAAAAACTAACCAATATCCAATAGTATGTCTTTTTAAAAGGGTCAACGAACTTATACGTGAATGCATATACTGTATATTGATAGCAATACAGGCTTGTGATTGTTACTTTTGTGTTTGAGATCATGTTTGCGTTTGTTATCTTCAAATCATCGTCACAAGAACACGAAAATGCAGATATATAAATATTACTTACGGGTAGATCTCCGGCGCTAAGGGCCCTTCTCACTGGCCCATCATGATCGTTAACGAAATCATGGGCCGTGGCCGCGAAATTACCGTAAAAGCCATTATGGCTACTCACACTCCTCTGCATAATAAGACTCTCTCCACCACTCCCCATCGAGCTCGGCGAGTCGCAGCTGCTGCTTCCGCCGCCGTTCATGCCAGAGTCAAAGTAACCAAACCCTGAAACCGCCTCGGCCGCGAATAGGGACTGGTGGCTCATCATAGGAGGCGGCGGAGGCAGGAGTTGATGATGATTATGATCATGCAGCAGAGGAGGAGTCACTATGTCGTCGGAGTATAGGAAACATGGACACGTGTCGCCGGAGGTTATGGATGTGCTGACGTGTCCACACATGGCGGGCTTTTCTTGTTGTGTTTATGTATCTTTGTGTTTGTTTGTGTTCTGTGTGTGTGTGAGTGAAAGTCGAAGTGGTCTGGTTTCTATTTAAACAGAGGAAGGAGAAGAACTTGATGCTGATATCATTAGTCGTCATCTTCGGTCAACTGACTTAACCGTTGACTTCTTTTGACTGACTATAAATAAAAAGAATCTTTAGTTTTGAAAGAAGTCTCTTGAAAGAATTGCCTTTCGTTTTCACGTCGCTTCTCTATCTCTCACCCGTCATTATTTCATTTAGCATACTTGAAGTAAAACGAGAATGTAGTGTTGGTTTTTAAAAAAATAAAAGTTAATAAGTTATAAATATGTATATAGCTTTATGCTTAAAATTTGACAAAAAAGAAAGCTTTATACTTAAAAATAACATTTTTATTTTTATTTAGATTACATACTTTTATCTAAGAAACAGGTGAACTAGTAACTTCAACGCCCAAACACCAAACATTCAATCATGTAGCATTATTTATAAAATACTGAAACAAGATTAAATTGTTTAATTACCAATTATGTAGATTTTTTTTTATCTTCGCTCAGGTGGATATATGATTAATTCGTAGCTAATTTGATACTCTCACATTGGCATATTAGAATTTTAATGTAAAACTTTGATTTTAGCGTCAAATAAAAATTAGTTAAAAATTATATAACATACAATACTAAAAGTCATTTATTTGTTCATAGAGA